GAAGGTGAACGAAAGGTGAAATCTGAAATCTAAGGTCAGATTTGAACTTCTGAGAACTTGTATATGTTTTTAAAAAAAAATTTGGTCAATTTGGAGCAAGTTGAAAAATTCAAAATGGCGGCCAAATTGAAAAATTCAAAATGGCCACCATGTAATTCAGCCAGCATACCCAAAACCTAATCAGATCTTAGCAATAGTCTGCTCTTGCATATGTAAAAATTTTAAGTTGAACGGATAAGTGGTTTTCCTGGAATTTTGATGACAAGATTTGTTGAAAAATTCAAAATGGCCGCCACGTAGTTTACCCAGCATGCCCTAAACCTAATCAGATCTTGGCACTAGTCTGCTATTGCATGTGTAAAAATCTCAAGTTGAACAGGTTAGCGGTTTCAATGGAATTTTGATGACAAGAATTGATTTGTAGTCTCAAACTTTGAGAAACTTGGATAACATCATTTGTGACCTAGTTTAACGACCTTGACCTTCGACCTTGAAAATTTAACTTTTTCAGACCTCAGTAGGTGTTTTGTAATTAAGCTGACCTAAATTTAAATCCAAAATATCAATTTAGAAAATCAACTTTTTTGACCTTTTCAAGGTCACTGAAGGTGAACGAAAGGTCAAATCTGAAATCTAAGGTCAGATTTGAACTTCTGAGAACTTGTAGATGTTTTTAAAAAAAAATTGGGTCAATTTGGAGCAAGTTGAAAAATTCAAAATGGCCGCCAAATTGAAAAATAGGTGTTTTGTAATTAAGCTGACCTCAATTTAAATCCAAAATATCAATTTAGAAAATCAACTTTTTGACCTTTTCAAGGTCACTGAAGGTGAACGAAAGGTGAAATCTGAAATCTAAGGTCAGATTTGAACTTCTGAGAACTTGTAGATGTTTTTAAAAAAAAATTTGGTCAATTTGGAGCAAGTTGAAAAATTCAAAATGGCGGCCAAATTGAAAAATTCAAAATGGCCACCATGTAATTCAGCCAGCATACCCAAAACCTAATCAGATCTTGGCAATAGTCTGCTCTTGCATCTGTAAAAATTTCAAGTTGAACGGATAAGTGGTTTTCCTGGAATTTTGATGACAAGATTTGTTGAAAAATTCAAAATGGCCGCCACGTAGTTTACCCAGCATGCCCTTAACCTAATCAGATCTTGGTACTAGTCTGCTCTTGCATCTGTTAAAATTTCAAGTTGAACAGGTAAGCAGTTATCCTGGAAATTTGATGACAAGATTTGGTTTATGTCCCGCCCGCCCGCACGCCCGCCCAACAGCACAAGACGACGACAATATAGCACTTTTTCAAAGTGCGATAAAAATTATTAAAATTGAAAGGAGGGGGAGAGCAAACAGAGGGATGGGATGATGTGTATATATGACATGATAAGAGATGTAACTTGACTTTATTTCCAATAACTTAAAACTCTTCAGAGTTGTAATATCCAATCAACAATTTTCCTTTGACATCATCGCATAGTTAACTACACAACAGCAACGCCAAAGCATAGCAAATCTAATCGAATAGCCATGGCTGGCATTTTTACAAGCGAAATGTATAGCAAATATCATAAAATAACACATTTAAGAAAGGCCAAAATCGCTCCACTACTTTTCAATCGTAATATAGCCACCATTTCTCAATATGACTGCCATTTATTTCTTGAAATTACTACTTTTCTAGCTTTATTAATGTCCTATATAACTTTTTTACATTTAAAACATATCGCTATTACAGTTATATATACAGTACCTAAATTACTGTAAGATCAGCACTAAAATGGCTGCCACTTTTAAAAAACAAGCCTGAAGCAGCCATTTTGAAAACCTGCTTTCAGGCAGAACTTCTACTCCCATATGGCACATGTGTACAAAATATGAACAAAATCAGGATAATGGTATTTGAGTTATCACCAGGACAGACATACATACGTGTTAGTGATGAAAAAAAGTGTTTAAAAAAAATGTTGTATTATAACCATATTAATATCATACATGTAGTTTCATATGCTGTACCTGTTTAATTGCCTGGACAGATTGACGACTTTTATATACTGTATATATTGGGTGTCCCAAAAAATGAATTGACTTTTGACAAATTTTTTCTCGGCAAGAGAGAAGCCAAATAATTTGAAATTTTTTATTGAGGAACTGTATGGTATCAATAATGAGATAATAAATTTAAAAGAGATCTGTGACATAGCATGCATGTATTCTCAAATTAAAAACAGTATGCCAAAATATCCAATATCAATGGAAATGTCACATTACAATCTGAAAGAAGCCATTTTTGTTGAACATTTCTTCCAATGATATCATTCCTTTGCAATTCATCTCCGACCCCATCCTTTCACCTTGAAACAGTATTTAATAGTAGCCTTATCACTTTCACTTAAAGGCATCATTAATCCTTCCAAACTGAATTTTGGACAGAACAGATTTTGGGTAAAGACAACAATGAAACAAGTCAACAGACCTAACACCCAGACAAGCTATTTTTATACTAAAACTGATTAACAGATGCCAACACCTGATATAATAGGGGACATTAAGCACGATGATAACTAAGTCAGGTTTAGTACATGTGTGACTCATGTGAATGTGTAAGTGGTACAAAATATCTATAACAGTGTGAATTTAAGTGGTTCAGAATATAACAATGTTTAAGTATACTCAGCAAGTGATTCAGAATATATGTAACATTGTTTAAGTGTACTGTAAGTGGTTCAGAATATATGTAACAATGTTTAAGTGTACTGTAAGTGGTTCAGAATATGTGTAACATTGTGTAAGTGTACTGTAAGTGGTTCAGAATATGTGTAACATTATTTAAGTGTACTGTAAGTGGTTCAGAATATGTGTAACATTGTTTAAGTGTACTGTAAGTGGTTCAGAATATGTGTAACATTGTTTAAGTGTACTGTAAGTGGTTCAGAATATATGTAACAATGTTTAAGTGTACTGTAAGTGGTTCAGAATATGTGTAACATTGTGTAAGTGTACTGTACGTGGTTCAGAATATGTGTAACATTGTTTAAGTGCACTGTAAATGGTTCAGAATATGTGTAACATTGTTTAAGTGTACTGTAAGTGGTTCAGAATATATGTAACATTGTTTAAGTGTACTCAGCAAGTGATTCAGAATATATGTAACATTGTGTAACATTGTTTAAGTATGCTGTAAGTGGTTCAGAATATGTGTAACATTGTTTAAGTGTAGTGTAAGTGGTTCAGAATATGTGTAACATTATTTAAGTGTACTCAGCAAGTGATTCAGAATATATGTAACATTGTGTAAGTGAACTGTAAGTGGTTCAGAATATGTGTAACATTTTTTAAGTGTACTGTAAGTGGTTCAGAATATGTGTAACATTGTTTAAGTGTATTGTAAGTGGTTCAGAATATATGTAACATTGTTTAAGTGAACTGTAAGTGGTTCAGAATATGTGTAACATTTTTTAAGTGTACTGTAAGTGGTTCAGAATATGTGTAACATTGTTTAAGTGTATTGTAAGTGGTTCAGAATATATGTAACAATGTTTAAGTGTACTGTAAGTGGTTCAGAATATGTGTAACATTGTGTAAGTGTTGTGTAACATTGTATGTGCAAGTGCTTCACAAGATCTATCTATGTTTAAATGTTCAGAATATGGTTGACATCGTTATGTGCAAATCTGAAATATTTAGATCAGAAATATCATTAATATGACATTATACTAAACTTGATTATCTTTAAAGCAGGTTAAAATTCAGTTATTGAAGCTTCTTTGGGTCTTGCAGAACTCAATAATCTCCAAGAATTAATAACAAAAGTCTATTATAGCTATTAATCAGTTAAATATATTGGATCAGTTCCTGACAACTTGTAATGATTAATAAGAACAAATTGTAGCTCTTGATAATACATACATGGGAGGTCTTATTCATTTCTGTCTTTAAAATGTATGACATAACGACTTGGAATGTCATCTGTAGAGTTTAAAGAATTCAGAAAAGTGAAGATATCAGTCAGTCTCGTTGTCAGTTTCAGAACAATTTCAATATTTTGATTTGTAGGAAAAAGCAAATTGGCAGTTGACAGTTCAAATATACTCTTTCTAAATATCAATAGCATCTATGAGAGCAAACTTAATATGTAGGATGGTGTTTTAAATATGGTAAAACTTTGAAAACTAACCTACCGTTAATGATTTTTAATGTTAACTGACTTCTGTTTGATGAGTTCGATGATGGGTAAGACATGCTATAAATCCAATATGGCAGTGATACAAAAAATAAAGATTTTCAAATTGCCAGATTTAATCAAACCTTTCTGATAATCTATCTAATGGTAGCTGTTTTTCATTCAAATAATGACATTATTTTTACATTAACAGTTTGCACAGTAGTTTATCAATTTTATCAATGTTCAGTGTACAGGCAACTGACACCCTTATGGATATACACTGTAGTTACATAATTGTATTAATCAAGATGACAAGAAAATATTTTTGAACTGAAAGTTAAACACAAGCAGAAACCAAGTGTAAGATATCCTTGTTCTAATGATATGGTCAATATGTTGATAACCAACCATCCACAGTATCATTTCAAAAAAAGGATTTATAAAGCACAATACTCTTGGTTTAAATTCAAACATTTTTAAACAATAGTTGGCTACAGCAACACCTGAAAGCTATCTCATACTTTTCCACAAAGCTTTCCACTATTTCTTATTTCTATAGTTATTGAACACCGTATTACATTTTGTATTGGTTTTGATATTTCATTCTACTACAAGTTATGCAATGCATAAAGTTGTGTTCTGCTACTGTATTCATTAAACGGAACAATATATTATATTTATACTAAGTCTTATACAAACTTGGACAGCCAATGTTCAATTGCATTTTAGCCGAGGGGGTAAATCTGAAATAAAAATGTTTCGAGACACCATTGAAATGTTTTGGGACATTAATGTGATCCTGTGCATTAACCCTGCCCTTCCCCCTCTAATACTCACCCTTGTTAGTAGCAGCTTCTAGAGGTATAGGCAACTCCAAGATGAACTCATCTCTGTTGGTGTAGCGCACCTTTTTGGACTGAGAGCACTGTATACGCTCCTCCACAGAAAACCTGAAGGCATCAGTGGGATTGACACTACCTCGACTGTTTCTCTGGAAATAGGAATAAGTAAATAAACATATATTTTTTTTTTTTTTATATATGATAAACTATTTATTTCATGATATTCAAATTTACATCGAATTGCTTGCCAATCGCCTAGTGGCATTATAGGCCAAGCTTAAATACATAATTTATATTTTATACAATTAGGAACAGCATTTTGTCCATTGTGGCATAGAAGAACTGGGGGTGTCTGGCTAAGAATGAGAGTTAGGTGTCAAGTTTTTGGTTCCATGAGGGCAAAAAGGGAGATGAGGATGATACAGAAAAACTATGGAAGGGGTCTTATTTCATATTTTCTTGGATAAAGTTTGCAACGTTTTCAAAAAGTTCATTCTTTTGAAGGATTGAAAGGTCATTACTTCCATATTTCAAAAAATGCATAATTTGGTTTTCATTTTTGATAGTGTTTGGTTTGTATATTGAGATTTTATTAAAAAACATTGTTCTGCTTGCAAGATTTTGAGGGCATCTAAAAAAGACATGTTTTGGGGTTTCAGGTAATCCACATGCACAGTTGGGAGTGTTTAAAGTGGTAAAGTTGTGTGCATATAGTTGGGCTTTAAAAATCAGATCTACTCTGAATCTGTTTAGTACGATTTCTAAGTTCCTGGTAAGCTTTAGTTTGGTTGTAGGGTCAAATTTAGGTTTTGATTCTTGGATAAGTTTTTTTTGGCGACTTTTAAAGATAGGAAGACTTGGACTTTCTTTTAGATATTGTGGAGCTCTGTTCCACAGTGAGGCAGCATTAAAAGCTGGCGACTTTTTCAATTTATCTGAGCATTTTGCGGGCAATCTATAGTCTATCTTATGTCTTAATGTTCTTGCATTTTGAATTTTTAAAGGCTCAAAAATATCGGTAATGTATTTTGGACATAAATTGTGATTTACGCGATACATAAATCTCAAAATTTGCATATCCCTTCTGGTCTCAAGAGGTGTCCATGCAAGTGTATCAATGACTTTTTCTGTGCTGCTTCCATGAATACAGCCGCTACAGATAAGTGCTGCTTGGTAAAAGCATTGGTTCAAAATATTGAGAAGGTATTTATTCGAAGAGTTAAAAATAATGGCACCATATTCAAAATGTGGTCTTATGAATGATACAAAAATAGTTTCCAAAGATTTAGATGTAAGATTTCGTTGTAGAGACTTAAGCGGATTGATCATTTTATTTACTTTATCTCGAATTGACAAGATGTGTGCTTCATTTGTCAAGTGCTTGTCAAATATAAATCCTAAGTGTTTCTGTGAATTCACACGATCAATGGGTATATTGTTCATGACTGTTTCACTTACCTGTGATAATTGAATTTTTGACTTTTTTTTTTTTTTTTTTTTTTTTTTTTTTTTTTTTATTCCTAGATAATTATATTTACAATTAATAACATGCATTTTGACTAATATTGATCTGATAATATATAAGATGAACACCCTTCTTATGTTATGTCATGCTGCAAAGACTGTTTCTATATTTTTGGATTTGGTGTTGTGTTATGCTTTGTATTATGTAGCCTAATGTGTTTTTATATAATTGTAAATATACTTACCTAAACAAATCATCCATCTACTCACATTCTTACTGACATTCATTCCTATCATGCAAATACTTATTCACACAAAAACTAAATAACAAAAAGCTAACCTTTACCTTTAAAGTCTGTCGTATATTTCTGTTAATTTATTCTCTACCTTGTTGTATGTGACAACTTCAATATAATGTTTCAGGAAATTTTTCATACTTTGTACATTTAGTAGTTGTTCTCCTAAGAAATTTTTATATATAAAGTACTTGACAAGTATAATGCCAAAATTAAAATTGTCGTACTCATCGTCTTTTGGTTTGTGGCCATATAATTTATCTTTATCCGACAATCTCGCCTTGTACCCTACTTTTTCCATTATTTCTGAAAAACTTTGCCAAATACAATTTACATATTTACATTCCACCAACATGTGTTTAATGTCCTGAATTTGATTACAATTTGGGCACTTCGGTGAATCTTTTATGCCCATTTTATGCAGCGTTTTTTGGCAAACAAGTATATTATGTAAAATTTTAAATTGGAAAATTTGGAGATTAACATTTTTTGTTACTTTTCTAGGTAGCATAAATGTTGATTTTATATCTTCATCTGTTAAGTCATTTTTCAAATGTTGTATTCCCGTAGGGGCAACAAACTCTTTTGCTGTGAAAATCTTTTTTGCAATTTTACATGTTATATTCATTGGTTTTATTGTATTATCTCTATTTGTTGTGGTTTCCACTTTTTCAAAATTTTTCAATTCTCTTTTCCATGTTGTTGGGACTGCAGTTAGTAATCCGTTATAATCAAGGTCTTGAATGTCTATGTTGTACTTGTTCTCTATTTCTTGTTTTGTGAGAAATGTTCCATCTTCCGTTATAATATCTTTTATCTGTTTAATATTTTTGTTGTACCATCTCGGGAAGAAAAACGATTTTTCACCAATCAAAATGTTTTTGTTGTTCCATATTTGTTCTTCTTGTATCACAATTTTGTTGTCAGGTACATTTAGTGTATTTTCTTGAATTTTAGACCATCCTTCCAAAACCTCAATGTAAAAATCAGGTAATTCATTTTTTATCTTTAGCTTCTCTATATTGTATCTACAGTCAAATAGATAATTTCCTCCTAATTTATTCAAGTGGTAGTGTGGTATAATTTTCCAGTTAGCATCAGTGTCTTCGTTACTTAATCTTCTAACCCATGCGGTCTTCATTGCTTTGTTAATAATCCTAAATTCTGCCATTTGTAAGCCTCCTTGCTCATATAAACCTATTATTGTTTTCCTTTTAATTTTTGGGGGTTTATTATTCCATATAAAGTTAAATATAATATTGTCTATCTCTTGTATATATTTATCTGGTATTGTTGTTACTGAAGCTATATTTATAATTTGGGAGATACCTATACTTTTGACTAATAGTATTCTCCCTTGAATTGTTAAGTTTCTACCTGTCCATATATTCAGTTTACTCTTGATCTTTTCAATTTTTTGTTTTATATTTACTTCTTCAGATATTATTCGTAAGTGTGAAAAGCAATAACCTAATGCTGTTGATTTTCTAACTGATCTAATGTTTTCTATGTCTTCATTTTTATCTTTGTCTCTTCCTATCCACAATATTTCACATTTATCTTTGTTTAATTTTAGTCCAGAGTGATATTCAAATAATCTAAATAATTTCAGCGCTTCTTTTGTTGAATCTTTGTCTCTTAGTATTAGTGTCATGTCATCAGCATATTGTGTAAGTTTAATTGTCTGGTTGTTGATCGTCATTCCTTTCACTTCAATTTTCTTTTTGATCGCTATACTTAGTGTTTCTATTGCCATAATGAAAAGAATTCCGGATAAAGGATCTCCTTGTCGCACACCTCTTTCTAACTTGAAAAACTCAGAATGTTCACCGTTATTTGAAAGGCAGCTTTCACTATTTTTATAAATTGTTTTAAAAATATTTAAAAATTTGTCGCCTAATCCAAATGCTTTGATTGTATCTTCTATAAAATGCCATTCAATGCTATCATATGCTTTTTGGAAATCAACAAATAGAAAAAGACCTTTTTCATTCTTTTCGTCGCTATATTTTAATAAATCATTTAACAATCGAACATTAGTTCCAATAAACCTATCTTTTATGTATCCTGTCTGGTCTGTACTAATAATCTTATGTAAAATACCTTTTAATCTTTCTGCATATATTTTTGTAAAAATCTTATAATCTGTATTTAATAATGAAAGAGGTCTCCAGTTTGCTAATTTCATTCTATTTTTGGATTTTTTTGGTATAAGGCTTATTATTCCTCTTCTCTGTGTAATTGATAATTCTCCTTCTAATATGGCTTTTTCAAAACATTTCATTAGTTGATCTTTTATTTGGTTCCAGAAAGTTAAATAAAATTCAGCCTGGAATCCGTCTATTCCAGGTGTTTTGTTTTTCTTGAAGCTTTTAACTATTTTGTGGCATTCTTCCTCTGTTATTTTTGAATTAAGTTTTTCTCTATCGTTTTCATTAATTTTAGGTACATTGTCTTTATTGAAGAAGGGGTTTTCTTGTTGTTCCTTTGAGTTAGTTATTGCTTTTGTTGAGGTATATAACTTTTTGTAAAATAATCTCTCTGATTCAAGAATGTTTTTAGGTTCTGTTATTATTTCATTGTTTTCATTTTGTAATTTTGTTATTACTTTGTTTATGTTATTCTTTTTCTCTAAGTTGAAAAAGTATTTAGTAGAATGTTCACCTTCTTCATAGTATCTTGCTTTACTTCTTAAAATGTGTCCTTTAGTTTTTCTATCTTGAATTATATCTAATTTTAATTTAATTTTATTTAGTTCATTTTTGTTGTCGCATGAAGGGTCCTTATCAAACTTTAATTGAGCAAGATTTGCCTCCATTAAGACTTTTTTCTCTTCATCCCTCTTATTCTGGGCTATTTGTTTAGAAAATTTGATGCATGCATTTTTAATACTCATTTTATACATATCCCATTTCAATCTGTCATCATCTATGTTGTTATATTCCTCTTTTATTCTATTTACTTCAGATATAATGTTTTCCTTAAATTTAGGGTCGTTTAGTAAACTAGTGTTTAATTTCCAAAAGCCTTTTCCCTTTCTTTTAAAATCTTTAGTTTGAATTACTAAATTTGTGGCAAGATGGTCTGGGGATGGGGCAGTTATAATGTCACTTGTACTTGAGTCTATTAAATGTGAGCTGACAAATATATAATCTAGTCGGCATTGGATAGTGTATCCAGGATTATGCCACGTGAATCTTCTATCATTGGGGTGTTGGTATCTCCAAATATCACACAAATCATGCGAACGTTTTATTATGTTAATTTCTTCAATTACCTTTATTTTATCTGTTACTTCTTTTCCTCCTCTTTTATCAATGTTACTTAATGCACAGTTTAAGTCTCCACAAATAATGATATTTTCCATACTATGTTGATTGAGTTTTTGGTTGACATTCCTATAAAATTCAACTTGCTGCTTTACATCATTTGGGGAATATAAATTTAACAAACTATATTCAGTTTCTTCTATTTTCATATTTATTAATAAAAGTCTACCATTATCATCTTTCACCATACCAAGAATTTCGTAATCAAGTTTTTTATTAAAAAGAATCATGACACCTTTACTGTGGTTTGATCCATGACTGTAGAAGCATTCAGAGTTCCATTCATTTTTCCATTGTTGTTCAACTTTTTTAACGCTGAATGTTTCTTGCAGGAAACATATGTCAACAGCATGATTTTTTAACCATCTAAATATATTGGCCCGTTTCCTTGAATTTTTGACTTATGGAATATTATTTCTTTCGTTTTCTCGGGTTTAAAACTAAGTTTCCATTTTTCAGACCAAAGTATAATTTTTCTTATAGATTCATTTACTTTATCGTCAATTTCTTTTGGATTTTGAGTACTAAATGGAAAATATACTGAGGTATCATCAGCATAGATGAAACAGTCTGTGTCAAGGTCATCCGGTAGATCATTTATAAATAAAAGGAAAAGCAAGGGGCCTAATATTGACCCCTGTGGGACACCGCTTTTTTAAAGCATTTGGTTCAGATAAATGTGAGGAAGTGCCTGCTATTGTGACCCTAACTCTGCGATCATTTAGATATGACTTCAACATTTTGAGAACTTGGCCACCTATACCATATGATTTTGTTTTTAAGAGTAAAAGTCTATGTGGCACACAGTCAAAGGCTGACGCGATGTCTAGAAATAGGGCTTTTATTCCCTTTCCTTTATCCAAATTAGTTTGTATAAGATGTTCAATGGCGACTAGCTGCGCCTGAGTACTGTGCCCTGGCAGAAACCCTGATTGAAATTTAAACAAAAGGTCATTTGAAATCAAGTGGTTTTTAATTCTGTCAGCGACAATAGTTTCAAAAATTTTTGACAGACAGCTCAATAGTGTAATGGGTCGATAGTTCGATATTTCTGATTTATTATTTTTTTTGTGAATGGGGCAAATATTTCCAATTTTCCAGGAGTTCGGGAAAGTGCAATTTTTGAGTAACTTGTTAAAAAGGTCAGCTAAAGGAGGAGATATTGTATGTGCAGTCATTAAGAGCATTTTATTAGTTATTTTATCCGGGCCACAGGCTTTGGAGCTGTCAAGTTTTAGAATTATTTTCATGACCTCTTCAAAATTAGTTTGTATTGACATCAAGAATGAATTTGTTCTCATGGGGAAAATTGGCTCGTAATTAAGTGGAGTGTCATTTTTATATTTCTCAACAAAAAAGTTTAAAAATGATGTGGCCTTGTCAAAATTTGATGTAATTGGATCACCATTACTATTAAATAGTGCTGGTATGTTTGAATGTGCTTTGCCTTTTCCAATTAGACAGGTAATTAGTTTCCAAAAGTTTTTGTCATTTTTATTGAGTTTTTCAACAGATTCAAAAATTTTATTTTCATGCCGCAGTTTTGCTTCCTTAATAAGATTTGTCACCAATTCTGCTTGGGTTTTGTAAAGTTGGTCATTAATTGGATTTGAGTTCTTTTGATAGCGTTTATAAAGTGATCGTTTTTTGATAGACTCGACTCTTAATTTCTCATTGAACCATGGTTGATCATTTGATTTTGTAATCTTAAAGTTATTTGGAATTTGGTCTTTATAAACTGACCATAATGTTTCCGTAAAGGTAGATGTTAATGTATCAATATCTTGTGAGTTCAAAATAGATTGCCAGTCGGTATTTCTAATAACATTGTTAAGATCTTCAGGGTTTGCACGGTCATATTGCCAGACTATACGCCTAATAGGAGGATGCCTAGGTTTAGAGAGATTTAAAGAAGCAAGAAGTGTTCCATGATCAGATCTACCAATTGGATCAATAACTGACCAGGATTTGACTTGTTCACAAGAATTTGTAAAAATATGATCTATGCATGTGCTAGAAGTACTTGTTATTCTTGTTGGTTGGTCAACAATTTGGTCAAAACAATTGGTATTTAGAGTTTCCAGGAATAATTCTCCTGCTAAGTTCTTGTCATTTTTATACCAGTTAGGATGTTTTGCATTTAAGTCTCCCATGAGCAAAATGTGGTCAAACTTTTTTGTGCTATTTTGAATTATGTCAAGCTGACGGTTAAGCCTATTAAAATATGCACGAGTTTCCTCTGCATTCTGACTGGGGGATCTGTAGCAGACCCCAAACAAAATACTTTTATGATCACATGTTAATTCTGTGAAAAGAATATCAAGATCTTTTATGTACAGGTCTGGACTAAGAGGCTTGGATGGAACGTCATCGTGAACATAGATTGCAAGTCCTCGACCAAGATTAGAGAAGACTGGATGTTTAAAGTTACCCAGACGAAGGTCAAAATCTGTTGGTTTATTAATAAAATTTCCAGCTTCACATAAAGCTATTACCCCAGGTTTTAGGTCAAAGGCTCGTTGTTTTAAGTCTTCAAAGCGTGCACCAGAATCTGCAAAAATACTGTTGATATTTGAGAACATAAAGCTTAAGTCATTAATTTCGTTATTGTGTAGTTGCCCTGGATTAGGGTGAACGTCACCTGCTAGCATTAACAACAGTTTGGATAATGTTGGGTTAAATGCATATGTTCCTGACCCTGGAACAAGGAAAACCGATGATATGCATATGAGAGATTGCAGTAATGCATATATATTGAGTCTTTTTGTATTGCCATACAGAAAGATAAGCACGGCACCTGGGACAAGGCAGGTGGTAAACAGTAAATGGCTTATAAACAATACTATCAGGAATAAGTTATTGAAGTAAGGCTTCAAAAGGGTAAGCCAAATTATAAACATGAACATGATTGAAAAATTTGAATGTATCATAGATCTACATGTATCAGCGATTGTGTGTATAGATAGAGCTGAAATATCATTTTTGCAGGTAGAGCCCCTGTTTCCACAGCAAAACATCCCTATTCGAGCCCTCCATAGTTGTAAGGTTATTCCTGCGTTACCCAATTCCAACCCTCAATGAAGCAAAAACTTGACACATAAAGGTATGGGACATTCTTACAATATAGCCAGTTAAAGTAGGAGAAATAGGGAGAAAGTTCATCTTAAAGCCACAATAAGCAAATATGGAGCTCCTTGCATTGCTTTGATCATAAAGCAAAAATTAAGTGTGCAGTGAGATGGGATTGTATACCATAGGCAGAATGTCACTTTCACTAATATAACAGATGTTGACAAATAAGAATGTTTAATACTCATTAAAAAGTATTATGATTGTGATTAAAACCTTCATATCTGGCAGTAGCAGTAGCCAAACAATGTTGCATTTAAATGAACCTAAGACAGGGTATTAGAAAAGGTATATAAGGTACGTTATTCTTCTAATTTCCCTTTAGCACCATAATTCTTGCTTTCTATTAACATTAGTCACAGTATTTCATTTCTATATTCATATATTGGATTAAAAACTGTTTGAATATAACTCAATTCAGAAAAACTTCAGTTTCCTTAGATAAGGCTTGATTTCCTTTAGGCATCAGGAACAAAACAAAGCTTATTATGTATAATATAAGCGGGAATAATAAGCAAGGTGGTGAAAATATGTGTACCATCCCATAAGTAAAGTAAGCATTCTGACAATCAAAAGGAAAAGAATCACTTCAGTTTCTTGTTGAATAGTAACAAAAAGAAATCTGTGCTAAGATTTATGTAAGGTGATAAAGCATAAAACATGGCAAAAGTATTATAACCATTCACAGGTCTGGGCCATTGTGCCCCCCCCCAATACTGGAAGTCCAACTTTCTACATCAGTAAACACAAATCATTAATGCTTACAGTACTGAGGGGTAAAATAACATAATATAAACAAAACAGAACACTCTTTAGTTTCTGTAAAGAGTCAAGGGTAGATTTACCTTTAAATGAACATATTCGAAGAATAAGTGTTGAATGCAACTCCCTCAATTGATAATGCAGGCAATGTAAATAGGCAATAACCCTTTACATGTTTCTCAATCACAATATATCATATTAGACAATGGTACATGAAGCAAGGAATTGATATATTGAAAGTTTATAAATGGTTGACCAAAAGGTAATCTTGATAAAATGAACATAATCTAACACCGATCTCATTTGGAGACTCAAATCTGACAAGTGATCAAAATTCAATTAACAAAGTATCAGGAAATTATCTGCAATATTTATTGATAAATCATTTAGGAATTTTGTCTATATGTACTACTTCTGAATCTTCTATTCATTATTCATCAGTTCATCATATCGTATCTTCCAACATTAATTATTGAGAGCTACTAAATTGCCTATTAACATACACTATAAGCCAAAATGTCACTTAGACCTAGGCTTGTATTTAATAGCACAGTGTATTGTAACTATTATCTAGTAGTGCATTGTAAATGTGATTTTCAGCATATTTGGTGATATGCTTCTTACCTCTATGAGACTAAAGAGATGCAGAATGTACTCTTGGGCATCTTGTTGTCTCTTTGTAGAGAACTCGGGATGACCACGACCAACTAATGTCTTGAACATCTGGGGTCGAATTCCTGTGTCCGTCTTAAATCATAATAAAACAATTCAATCATTCTTATCACACTGTTCCACTTAGGTTTCTTCACTCCTCCGAGTGAGACTGTTTTCGTTCAAATTCCTGAATTTGGAGAGGCTTGAGCATTTCAAAAAGTTGTTTACAATTGTGAATTGATTACTTAGTTTAGTGATATGTCTGCCATTTGTGATGAGAGTAACTGCAGTTATTCAATTAGATTCATGTGTTTTGGCCCTGTGTATGAAAGCTTATGATGTTCTTAATACAGAGTTCACTGACAAAGATAAAAATAAGGACCCATATTAAATATTGATTTTTTTTGTTTTTACTAAAGGAATCCATTGTAAACCATGAACATGTATTAGTATCTGTGATGTGCCAATACACAATAATAGAATGCCAAACATAGCATTAATATTGTCACTTACCACAATTCTCTCTTTGCCCTCATCACCATTGCCCTCTGTGGTTGTCTCTCCATCTTGTGGCACCTTGGAGTAATCTCCTGATAGCAAACCATTGCCAAGCTTCGCCCTGTTTACACAAAAGAAAGTACAGTGTATTCTTTGAGAGTTGGCTTGAGACAATTTCAATGAAAACCACCTGGCAGGCATACAATCCTGAATGAATTAGCCAGATATTCATTGATTTTGATCAAAGGCTGAGACCAATAAACCACTGCAAAATCAGTTCTAAAATTGAAACAAAACAGTTTTTTCAATTTAATACATCTTGCAATTTTAAAATGTATCACTTTAGTGTGATGGCCATGCAATAAGGACTCTTCTAAGGATCATGATAGATTTCCAAAATGATCTTGAGAATGCCCTGCTTTATTCATGATATTGTTCTACTTACATTTGAAGGCTGAAGTCTGAAGTAGGGTCTCTTGGTGCAGTGTTGAACAACTCCTCAGCTTGATCAGCATACCTTATAATAGAACAGATAATAAATACAACTGTTTATATACAGTAAAGACATTTTTACCAAATGTATGAATCGTGTCATATGGTGCTGTATACATTTTGAAAACTGTCACCATCTATGCTTTTAGTGGTCACCTTTAAAATATAGGTAAGGTTGCAAAAGTAGATCAAATTGCAAAAGTAGATCAACTTCCAAACATATCGTGAATAAATAAAACCGACCTAATAAAATTCAAGTAATTACCTCATAGTAAAATTGTTGTAACATTTTTGGCTAATTTTGACAGACGAACATATGCACAAGTTGGTGATTCTATAGGCTCACAACATGAGCCCAACAATCCTTTTTCATTTGCAGCAAAAGACTGTCCAGTGACCTTGACAGCAAAATACTCACACATATACTGTTTGTTATGGAATGTAATATTGTTCTCATCTCTACTGTATCTACTGATATGCTATTAAAAATTGCGATATCATGTATGGTACACACCTAGCTTTGAAATCAGGAATGTTGAAGAGGACTTGCATGACTGAGTTCATATAACAGCTATTGCCAAGATTCTTCATCCCAGTGAAACCTGGCCCATAGAGAGGCTTAAGCTTACTTCCAGATTCTTGAATGACGTCCCATTCTCCAATACGCTGGTTCAGATCTATTTCTAGCTCGACCATAGATTTGTCAGTCTATAATATAAACAGTAAAATAAGATATTCTTAATCTTAATGCAGCCACACACTTAAACATCAAAGTCATTGTACATAATATTTACATTCAAGATATTTTTCTCAAAATAATTCTGTATCATGAAACAAAAGCATTATATGATCATTTTGAATGCAAGAAAGTAATTATATCCAATTCATGCAAGAGTTACCTTTTGCATTGCAGAAATATTGATTCCAAAGTGCGCTAAATGTTTTTTAAGATCTGGATCTTCAACCATATCATCTTCATCATATGAATAAACATCTGCAAGTGAACATTTTATTTTGGTTAAAATTTAATCCAAACAATCTTCAATTTGGTAAGATTGATCCACAACTTGAAATCTAGTTTGAACCACTTTTATACAAAAGACTTAACTTCAAAAGATCAGATGAACACAGTACAGCAGTACTGGTATATGCATATCACTCATGGGGGAAGTGGAATTCTAAATGAATGTAGCCAGCCACAGACTCACAGTGCAACTGATTTATGTTTTACTCAGCAAACGAGGCACTAAGTACATTCTCATCTTATTACTACTTTTGAACATTTTCCATCCCTTTTTCTTGGATTATGGATAGCATTTTGTGCATAGAAAAAGTAAAACATTTCATTGGTGTCCTTCAAAGCAGGTGAATTTGGTCGACAATCCTTGATTTTCAACTATTTTGATCAGTGTTTCATCCATAATAATGTTAATATGGCTGCACAATTTGACACAAAGTATTAGATAATATGAGGTTATATAATGGTTCTTTCTGTATATCGTTTTTATACTCGAGTGAGTATATGATATATTCACAAGTGAGCGTAGCGAACGAGTGAATATATTATATTCTCACGAGAGTATAAAATGCACGATATACAGAATGAACCATTATATAATCTTATTATGCCACTCTAAGTTCAATTACAGTTGATTCGAACACAATCATAACAATTAAAAACCATAAAAATATCCCATAGCCAACTCAATAATGCTGATGTTGATCTCGAACCAATTATGACGTCACTTGATTCCAGGAAATCATGAACAATTTCATGATTTTTTTATTCATTAGTTCCCAGAATGCACTTCTACAGTGGTATACGCTGGAGTGTATACGGAGGAGTTGTATACGATGACGATATACCACTCTCCACTGTATATCGTTGTTATAGCCCCATGTTATACAACTGTAATTGGACTTAGAGTGGTATAATATATAATAACTAGAACTTACAGATTCATCACTAACATTTTAAATGAATCTATGCCTACTCTTCCTAGAAATGCAACATCTTCAAAGTTTTGGGGAGTACTGTAAAACGTGTAATTTTGACACCAGGAAATTTTAGCGATTTTTCAATTTTAGGGGGTTTTAGCGCGAGAAATTTTAGTGAAATGAAGATTAATCTTTAAAAAATCAAATTAGCGAAATGCATTAGAAATTTTATCATTCATGTTGCTCACTTTTGGTACGGGAGAATTTAAGCAATATCATTGGTTGTTGCACCGTGTTCAATTAACACCTTTTATCAATATATTTACTACTAATACTATTTCACTGATGGATGGCTATTTATCCTTCAGATATTGAAAGAAACATACGATTTAAAAATATTTACCTTTTTCAAATTACAAACCGGAAGTTGAGCACTGAATGAAAAGCTCCTTAACCTTTACCATGCTGCCTTATTTCAGCAAATATATCCCACGCAACTGGCTTATTTTTCAAAGAGTGCAAAAAATGATATGCCTGGACTAAATAATTAATATCTCAATAACTACTGAATGAATCTGGATAAAATTTTCACAAAGGGAAGATACAGTGGCCTGGCTCATGAAAAAAAATGTTCTCATGAATTTTTTCGTACATTAACACGACTGGGCATAAATATACCATGAATACTCCTCCGAAATCCGCCGCTCCGCCTCTTCGTCTGGTCAGAATCCAAATCTGAATTTGCAGCGATCGAATGTTCAATTTTTCAATTCAGAAAATATTCTAGTTTCTATTTTCGATGACCGTTATCGGCTTCCAAGAGCCTAAAGAGCTCGAAATCGTAATCCATTTCCTCCACATTTTCGTTGTGATCGTATTTGTCCACCATTTTGTACGATTCGTTCACTAAAAACGACTAAAACACTGTTTAAATTGTTGAATTGAGAATTATTTTTAGAAATATCGCCATTTCTAGGTCAACAGGAAGTCATGTTAGGCACTGAATAAATCGGGCAATCTAATTGGACAATACGAATGGCGCGAAAAAGTAAAGTTTTTAAAAGTTTGAAATCGGGCGTACGGGTCCGCCGGCAGTTGTGAGAGACATTTTAGTCTCGGCGGACGAGTCCGCCGGCAGCACGCTAAAGGTTAAATACTAGTATTCATGTAGTTTCTATAGCGATCGCTAACAATCGCTAACAATTACCCCTCGCTAACAATACCCGTTTTACAGTATGTTGTAAATGGTTAATCATATATATGTTATATACCTGCTCCATCTGGGTTGATTGTACCCAACTTGACAGCCAGGGGGTACTTGGTCTCGTTGTAATGTTCAACTGCATGGTTATTGCCCCCACTGCCATCCCAGAACTTTCTGCCACACAAGATGGTACCATCAGTCAGGTTCACCCATAGATTAGTAGTCAGCTCACAACGTGAACAAACCCAGCCCTTTGGTGGAATCTTAACACCATTGTCGAGTTGAAGCAAGTTTGCAGCATGCCTAGACAGGTGGAACAAAGAGAGAATCAAAGAAAATACTAGTACTTTGAAAGGTCAAACATGTATCTTAAGGTCACTACTGATTGAACACTTGGTGCTAAGAATCCACAAATCTACAGTATATTATAAGCAAACTTAAGTTTTGACTATTAAGGCAAATGGTAATACGATGGAACGATGACATGTGGCATCATCTTACACCAGACCATGAACACTTCATGAGACCATTCCTTAAAACACGAAAACTCAGTGTATACATATTTAGCTACAAAATACTTGCTGGTTACTCCTTTCCGGGACCAATATATTTCATTATACACACCTCGAGATGACCCTCTTTTCTCCCTCCCAAGTGTCTGCCATGGCTGCAGCCTCTTCAGCCTTAGCTGCAGACTCAGCTGCAATAATAGCTGCACTTGACAGCTGTGCCTAAAACATTAAATAGATTCATTATTTGATGTTTACAAACCTAAAACATATCATAATATCAATGCATAATTCAGAATGCATAAGATGGTGAAGACTACATTTGATTTGAAGTCACAAAATATTTATGCAAAACTAGAACTTACATTGGCTTATTCATAAAGAGAATAATGATTTTAACTGAGCTTTTCATAATAATAGGACTTCATAAAAAAATATCTAGAATCTCATGTGTTAAAATTGTATTTATGGGTGTATCTTTGACAGATAAGGGGTGGCCCAAAAATGCATGTCTAATTTTCAAATAACATTTACTATTTTGGAGGAATTTTCTTGAATTTGTGTAATTCCATTTGTGAAATAATGGTCTATTTAGCATTAATCACTTAGATTTTTTTACAAATCATGTTGCCGCATAAGCATACTCTCATTCATAAAAATATGTAAAAAAACTTAAAGTAACATGAAAAATGATGTCCCATAATTTTCCTCTGGATTCACACTCTAATCCTCATGCGGAGTGGACTAATGCAATAAAAGCACACAACTGGTCCACGCATGGAGAACTCTTAATTTACTCAAAAAGCTCCACCATAATACAAAAAGTAGTTCCAATATCAGAGGATTGCATTTATCAGGGTCACCCAAATGACTCACCATCATTGGTATGTCTGTGGTAGGTAGTGGTATGACTGTCCATTCTGGTAGAACAACAATAGAGTTCACCTCTTCTACTGTATACTTCTTGTCATCAACATCAAAGCCACCTTCAACACCTTCAATTGCAGCATGGACATTTTGTACATATGTAATTCAATTTCAATTCACTTCACTTTATTTCAAATGTTTCAGATACAGTATCTTACATTAACATGAAAAGACACCCCGAGGGGTGTATAAGTTCCATGTTTAACATACAATATATCATTTATTAAATTAACAGTCCGGTTATATGGAAACAAAAAAATGACAAAGCATGAAATGCATCATAATATAAAATACGAGTACATGTAATGAGAAGAAAGCATTTTTCAAAGAACATCTAATAATGACTTAGCAAATCAAACTTTAACTTTCGTTCAAATGATTTGATATGTTTAGATTTTTTGAGATCAAGTGAAAGAGTATTGTAAAGTTATGGGCCCCTTGTTTCATTTGATTTTCTTCCAATTTCTGTTCTGGATTTTTTTACAGTTAAATTCTTATTAATTCTTGTGTCATGATTATGAATTGCTGTTCCTGGAACAAATAAATGTTTGAACTTTTGAAAAGGAAATTCTGGTGATTCTGAAACAGTTTTCTGAACAAAGCTAGCGGTTTGTAGTTTATTGATGTCAAATATATTCAATATTTTCAGTTTTGAAAAGAGAGGTCCTGAAGGAGCTAGACGATCAGAATAAGTGATAGCTCTTAAGAATTTCTTTTCCAGAACAAACAATTTTTGAATAAGAGTTTTTATGGCATTTCTCCATAAAAGGTTACAATAGCTTAAGTAGGAATAAATCATGGAGTAATAGATAGTGGTCATTGCATTTAAAGTCAGTCTATGTCTAGTCTTGTAGAGAAGTCATGATCAAGTAGGAAATTTTTGTACAGATAGCATTCATGTGAGATGACCATCTCTTGGCTCGAGATAACTGCTACAGATGCAAAAATGGAAATTACAAGATATGTGCCATAAAGGCAGAAAAGTGAATTGTAATTTGTATAATGTTAAGTGTTTTATCCCCTATGGCATACATGTCATCAACACTTTCATATTAAAAGAACAATGTCAATTTCAAACCGTTACAAATGACAGTGATGCTGACATTAATTTTTTTTCGTATCTGTCTTTGTATCTATTAAATGTTCATTAAAGCGAATTAAATTAAGAATTGGAGATACATGTGCAGGAGCAAGCAGTTGTTTATAACATTACATTCTCAAATGTAATATCTCAAAAGAGAACACAAAGTGCATGATATCCCCACCTTAGAGATATCTTAAAAGCATGGCTTAATGCCTGTCTAAAAGCTCGTTGTTTCTAGAGACCTTTTGGATAATCAGCTTGCTGTCTCAGATTCTTCTCTTAACTTACCAATTGCTAGCTTGGTAGGTTTCTTGGCTGGTGGGTCATCTTCCTGTTTTGGAATCTAAAACCAAACACAAATATTAGTTACAGTGTATAGGATGGGACAATGGCTTCAATTTGATTTATCAAAACAAATATTAGGCACGTTGAGCAAAATCATGCAAATATGCCACCACTGGAAAGGAAATTCTGTATTTCTGGAAAGGAAATGTTATTTCAAATGATTCAACATAATTTTCATTTTCCATTTCCAAGATCTGAGTTTAGTCATTCTGACTGAATCTCTCTTTGGATAATTTTGAAACTTTGATACATAGTCAGAACACATGTGTCCTTTCAAGAAAAGGATTAGAAAAAAATTGTCAGTTTGAAGCAAGTTGAAAAAATACCTTTTTGACCTTTTTCGACCTTGCGAAGATCATTGAAGGTCAAATCTCAAATCTTAAGTCAGATTTGAAATTCTGAGAACTTGTAGGTGATTTTGAAAAAAGGTTTGATCAATTTGAAGCAAGTTGAAAAAGACCTTTTGACTTTTTTATACCTTGAGAGGGTCATTGAAGGTCAAATCTCAAATCTAAGGTCAGATTTGAACTTTCGAGAACTTGTAGATGATTTTGAAAAAAGGTTAATTTAAAGCAAGTTGAAAAATACTTTTTTGACCTTGAGAAAGTCATTTGATTAAAGGTGGAATCTAAAGTCAGATTTGAACTTCTAAGAACTTTTAGATGATTTTGAAAAAAATTGAAGTCAGTCTAAACCGTATTTGTTAAGTTATTTGAAGTTTTAAGAATTTGTTACAAACACCAGATGTTAACCACCTGAACCACCACCCGCCAACCCGAACCGCCGTCACAAAAATGGAGACCATAACAATATGTAAACACTATTGGTGGTGAAATTACAATATGTAAATTAAAATACAGGTAGCAGTTACTGAGTTTTACTTACTTCTTTCTTGATCCGTCTCATATGCAAGAAGACATTGTTGCCTGTTTGTCTTGAAAAGCGTTCAACATGTTTCTTCCCCACACCAATGAATGTACTCATACACACATACAGACCTGTTTCACATCCCTGCAAATGATTTAAGTCCTTATAATTTGGCAAGTTTAAATGCAAGTAGAATCTCTGGGTTGCAATCCACGGGGTGTGTAAACTCGAACTAGTCGATCCAATAGGCTCACTGTGTGAGCCCAAAAATACACTTATACATATACATCAATAACCTGGTTATTATGAAGCAGTTTAACTGATTCAGACTTAGTTCAACAATTTAAACCTAGTCTGGGCCTTATTTCTTATCAGACATATGTGGCCCCGACTAGGTTTGATGTCCATGTATATTCCGCCAAGTATGTGGAAAATTGAATGGTAGCTCATCTTCGGCCAGCGCTTATAATTAATTCATGATTTTGTGATGTTACTCCTTAAATAATGTGATCAAAGTAAGCATACATACCTTATGAATAAAAACACATCATCCCATATCCCCTCCCCCTGTGTCCTTGATAATGTACAATTTCGAAAATATTAGAGACAACTTTGGAAAAAGTTGGTTCAGGTTCCCGTAATGTTGAAATGGCAAATTGTGTCAGAAATAAACCAAGTGATGGCGATAATGATTATCATTAGATAACAATTTTGATTCGAGGCAAAGTTTTGTTTTAGTGACCCACAGATGAACAAATGCATTTCAGAAATTGAAAAGAAAAGCCTCATTCTACTAGTGTTCTCTCCAGGATTTTTTCTCAAGTGGGTGCAAAATTCTCACAATTTAGTCCAAAGTTGATCAAGACAAAATATGCCCATTTTACATGATTTTTCTAATTGCAAGTGGGAGCATAATCTCTGATGGGTGCAAGCCTGTTTTTAAAATCTCAGGTGGGTGCTGCATCCACTGTATAAAATTATAGTTTTGAAAATCGATCCAAAATTGATGGTGCATGAATACATAGGCCGGGCTCCCCTCATTAAGGGTGTGGATCGTCCCATATTAGAATTCATGAACTTGAGAAAAAATTTAATTTAGAACCCAGCGCTAGTTTGGAGTTTATTCCCTTTTGATCTCCAGTTATTGTGTGAAATATGTTTGTCCCAATATGATCTTAAATGATTAATTGTTAAACCAAGGGCTTTCAACTAGCAACCAATGGTTAGACTTAGATATTAGTTGTTGAACACGATATAATTGCGGTAATTGGACTGAAAAGTCACGATTTGTTAAAATATTTTTTTCAAATGGACTTCTCAAAGCATATGAGACTTCCGCGAGATGATTTTTTTTTTGTAAAAACTATATTTCAAGAATAAAACATATACAATTATACATTATACATAGGCCTAATTACATTGTTTAATTTCTGTACAGTTTTTCTTTTTCAAAATAAGCATCTATACTTCCAGTTTTGTCTATATTGAAAATTTGTATTGCCCTCCTGGGGGTCATTAACAGAAACTTCGAAAAGTTACAAATTCCTAAATCAATTGTTATAACCATGGATATAATGACGTCACAGTTTGAGAACAATGGACTTCTTTATAATTCTTATACTTATTTATTCCTATAATTTGTTCAAAATGATATTATCAAAAAATTTCCATATATCCCTTATTTTTGTACACTCATAAAAATTATGTTTAACATTGTCAATTACATTGCAATTCTCACAAAATGAACTATCTCTAATTCTAGATGATTTAAAATCTCATTACATGGATATATGTTGTGTAATGTTTTCAGCGAGATGATAGTGTGTGGCTTGGAAAGCACGGAAAAGTCAATAACCCGGGCAGTTCCTCACATTGAAAGCCTATGGTTCAGTGAACAATTTGCAAAATTTGAAGATCGCTTCAAGAAATCAATTCAATAATTTGATGGAAATATTATGATTTACCCACAGTCAGCACTATCAATGGTATATTCTAAGGTATATAGAGACTAAAAGTCCAAAAGGCTTTTGTGACAATATTTCCCGGAAGTGTTATATTTCCATTTATCCTTCAAACTGTGACATTTATGCTAATAACTCGACATGTATATGATTCTTACATACCCAATACGATCAAAAACGTTACTAACATACCAAATGAAAGGTGATTTCCTGGTCAAACTTGCAAAAGTTTGTCCAAATTCGCACTTGAACCGAATATTTACCAGAAGTGTTTATATTTCCATTTAGGTGTCACTACGGTAAATCATTGAAAAATATTGAAAAAATCACAAAATTCAAGTTTGGGAACGAATTAGCCCATACAATAACTATATTTCTGCGTTCCCCTATACATAACCTTCATCTTGACCATACATTTAACATTGGGTTTGCGTCTCGATTTTTAAATATCACTACGCCAACATAGGGACTCATTTTTAGGTAAAATCCCTGCTTCACCGATGAAAATTAACGAATAAAGTAGTTCCAGTTTACGGCACTATATTTTGGCGATTTCTTTCTAAAATGGCACATTAAGAAAGTAATTGGCCTCAGCTTTACATACATACCTCAAATGGCCACAATGCATATACTTAAAGTGCCATGGAAGTTAACAGGAAATGACAAAACAGGAATTGACAATTTTTTTTTGTATTTTTAGACATTTTTTGAACAAAGATAACAGAGTTCTGTTTTGACCTCCAGTCAATTCAACTAGTTCCAAATACCATTTACAGGTCCAGGATCACAATGTTCATGGTCAGAATGACCCTAAACATGATGAAGTAACCTTTTCCGCCCTATGAAAATGTGACTGAAAAATAGCTAAAAGTAGGTGCTCAGGAAAGGTCAATGAACAGAATCTTGTGATTTTTCCAGTAAATGTGTCCAATGTATTGCTCTAATGATACAATCTTTGAAAATTTGATATCATTCATAGAAAAAGAAAAAAATTGAAAAAAACTGATTTGAAAAGCAATCTATTTTCCTTTTTAGGACCGCCATTTTTGTTTAAGAACATTTTCTAAAATTTCAAAGATTGTATCAGTTAGAGCATTATATTGGGCACGTTTTCTGAAAAATTCAAAAGATTCTGTTCAGTGACCTTCCCTAGCTCCTACTTTTAGCTTTTTTTCAGTCACACTTTCAAAGGGCTAAAAAGGTTATTTCATCATGTTTAGGGTCATTCTGACCATGCACATTGTGATCCTGGTAATGTAAATGATCACACTACTATACCTAACACCTAGAAATGCATAAGATACTTTGTTTGTCTAATTGAATTGTTTAATATATTTTTGAAAGTGCCTTACTAGCATCTAATTTTCAACCGATAAACCATTCATAAGGAACAGACAAATAAAAACAAATACATAATCATTACTAATAAGCCAAATGGGTTGCTCATGAACACCAAATGCAAGGTATAGTAGTGTGATGATATGTGGAAATAGTTAAATTGACTGGAGGTCAAACCAGAACTCTGTTATCTTTGTTCAAAAAATGTCTAAAAATGCAAAAAAAAATTTCACTTCCTGTTTCGTTAACTGTTAACTTCCATGGCACCTTAAACCTACTATGCACACCATTGAAGTTGGCATGGCTTCGTTTTTAAGTATTAAAAAACACTGTCCTACCCGGAAGTGGTATTTACAGTAGTAACACCTTAATATCCAAAAATGGAAAAATTTTACCATGATAATTTATGCTCATTCAGCATTTTTTCAAACAATTGAGTTATTTCATGCTCAAAACAGCTGGATTTTCAAACTTTTAACACATTTTCTACAAAATCTAGTCATATTTGGGGAAATAGGTGAGGGCTGAGTCTCTAAAAACTGGCCAAAATGACCTAAAATTGGGTCATGCACTTCAGACATCTCATGCAAAAAATTTAGATGCAAAATCCCCGAGATTATCTCATTTTGTAAATCATTATAGCAATGCCTTTCAAGTATTACACAGAATGTACTGAAATGTATGTTGCTAAATGCAAATATTTTGAGTCAAATGTGGTCCCCATGTGGAAAATCTGCCCTTTTTCTCCCCTTTACGCCAGTTAGGCCCCAGTGTATTGTGACATCATACTCATACCATTGCTACAATGTAGCATTTTACAAATTAATCATGATTACTCTTCCTGTGATACACAGTTGAACACTGTTTTTGCATCGTGATATTCCCCAGTGTGTTGACTGATTACACGCCAGCTTACTTAGTTACTTACTAAGTACGCAATAACCACCATCAAAGACCTGCCGGCACCTATTTATTTTTGGGTTGGTAATGGAATTTTACAAGGGCAATACGAGAAGAATTCAATTTTTCAGAATTTCATGATAATTACGGTAGATTTTACTGTAGTTTGAACAAGAATACTTTAAATTCCAGCAGATATATTGTAGTTTTCAAATATTTACGGTATATTTTTAGGCTGTTCTTATGGAAAAAATCGAATTATAATAAAATATTTTACGGTAGATTTTGGTAAAATTACAGTAGATTTTTTACGGTCGTGTTTACAGGAAAAAACAGTAATTTTTACGGTATTTGTGTTTTTCTACCGAAAAACGAATATTTTATGGTAGATGCCGGTAAAAATACGGTAGGTTGGCAGGTATGAGTTACCATGGCAACCGTGGAAATGGGTAAAAATGAGAGCAAAAAACACCCAGACCCGCCATAATGGCACTTATTTTCAAAATATTTCGAGACATACAAATTTTCTTAAACTTTGATATCATCTAGAACACTTCTAGACAACAAAAATATCAAAAATTGGGGGAAGGTTTATCACTTCAATTTTTTGCAAGCCTTGGTCAAAGTAAAGCTACGAAAAAAGCACTCATTTTCACTTAGAATCACCTATTATCGCCCAAATGGCTATATGTTGTCCAGGTCGCCATGTTAAAAGTAGAATTAGAATGCTCTTCAGACAATGTTAGATAGCTTTCCTTTATCACGGAACAAAGATCTTTGCACTGGTATGCCCATTTCCATGAGATAATGCACGTGACCCACCATGGTTTGGGATCATTATTTTTTAAACATTGGATTGAAAATGATGTAATTTATATAAATGATATTGTTAAAGATGGAATGTTATGTTCATATAATGTCATAGTTCAAAAAGTACAGCGCAATTGACAAACCATGCTGCAGTATAATATTTTAAAAGCATGTGTTAAACAAGAGTTAATTACAAAGTATGGAGATGAAGAGAATAATAACAACTTGAGATTTGTAAATAGAGAATTATGTAAATCAGATTCAAAGTATATACGATCAGAGTTAGTCTTGGCAAGAAAATGTGATATTAAATATGATAATACATTGATAAGTAAGGATGTGTGGAACACACTTTTTAATTGTACAAAAGATAATGAGCTCAAAATTATCCAATGGAGGATTATCCATAAAATTTATCCAAGTGGCAAATATCTAAAACAGTGTAAAATACAAGATTCAGATAAATGTAAATATTGTGATAATGAAATTGATGATGATATGCACTATTTCATGTATTTTGTGAAGTGTAAAGAAGTTTTAAATATTTGGAACACCTGTGATTGTAATTGTCTCAGTGATAAACAAAAACTTGGTATTGAAAATTTCGCACAATAAAAATATTTTAAAAGTGTGATTATAAAAATAGCTATCCATATGTTTAAATGTGATCTGCTGAATGAGCAGGAAACTTTGAAAATGATAGATAATAGGGAAAAATCATTTTACAACATGTAACCTTTATATGTAAATGTATTAATTGTACTGTATATATGTTTTTGATTTGAAATATAGTTTTTTAATAAAAAAAATGGTGGGTTTGGGTGCTTTTTTGCTCCCATTTTTTACCCCATTTCTACGGTTGCCATGGCAACTATTAGGCTTTGGTAACCATGCCAACTTGATTTTTGAAGGACATCCACCTGATAGTAGTTGGGCCAGGTTTGATGGAAAATGGGCCTGGTTTGATATGCTGGCAGTGAGGCTGATTGTGGCAAGTAGTGAAACGGCAAAACAATGGTGGAGTCTTGTACTATAATTTTAAATTAGAGCTCTCCAAGAGAAATATTATCATGTAATGCAACAGGTAACTTATGTAAACAAATTTTTAAATTTATGTAATCTTTTTTGAATTATCTGAAATAAAAAAAATTTTAAATATAAAAAAAGGAATGCAATACAAAGAGAGAATTGTATAATAATCACAAACTTTTAATAAATACATGCTGGTATAAAGTAGAATAAAAAAAAAGGTGGAGTTATACCATACCGCAGTTGTGAAACAAAATGGCAAAAAGCTTTCGAACTTTTAGGATTATATCATTATTAGGAGTATACCATTGATAGTGCTGACTTTGGATTTACCCCAACAAATGGAGTACCATTTTGAAGCCAAGCAGGGGTGCAACGTTGTGGTGCAAGAATTTCTGAGATTAAGGTAAGGAACTCCAAGAAAAAGCAAGAACAACAGATCCGTAGTTTTTCAGAAGCTCAACTTAAAAAAATGTTCTATGCTTGGTCATGCGTCTCTGGTCTTGACAAATCTTAGATACAGACTATAGATTTAATCTCAGATGAATACATAGTTCAACGTCATTAAACTCAATAACGGCGTTCTTTATTATTAGGAATTTTCTTGGGGCCGTTATTGAGTTTAACCTCCTTACTATTCTTTCCTTTGATGCAAGTTCTGAATCCATCGAAACCATTTTTCCGCGATAACGTGCAACTGATACTTGACAATAATATAAAAACACATAACATCAAGCGATTTAACACAATATTTTTGTGTTAAATGTTCATTTATACGAGTAAAATGAGGCTACACTTACCAATCTCTAAAGTGACATTTCCGCATGTCCGTCATTGTGTCTGTTCGTCTGAGTGTCCCGGATCGTAAAATTAAACTACCAGCGAAACGAAATTGTTGTCAAATAGATTGATAATTATTATCGTGATTACTCGGGATAAAAAGATCAATTTTGAGGATAACAGGTATCTTTGATTAATTTATATAGCGCGTGTATACACGCAAAATAGTTATTATTTGCAAACCCACTGTTCGTTAATGCAGTGCCGTGATGACGGTTAATTCCTGAAACGATTTGCAATTTCGATGTTACCGAAACTGACCGACATTTTCGTCATATTCCAAACCTGTCTCCAATATTTTCGTAATTATGCATCAATAGGGTCTAAGGGGGATACGGGACGGGGTCTATGTGTTTATAAGGTATGTATGCATGTTTGAATCACATTCTTTGTGTAATATTGCCATGTTTTCAGGGTTTAATTTGTTCCGCTTGTCGAAACCTGCTGAACGATTCAATTAACGCATCAAAGGCAAAATGGTCATGGAGGTTAGACCTAGCCGGGCCATAACACATGTCAGATAAGAAACGAGGCCCGGGCTACATGTAGGTCTAGCCTAATGTTGTTGGACTAATGAATACATTGCCTGGACAAACTCGGTCCAACACCAATTAAAATTTAGATCAATAAATAAAGCTAGATTGAGTTTAACTTGTTGAACTAGATCCACTCAGACTTTGTATGATATTCTATTTATTGATTGATTATTTTATTCAATGATTCAGCCTCAGAGACACAGAATGATTGAAATGATTTCAAATAATTCTGAAATGAAATGTCCATTTGACGTCAGAATGACAAATATGCACTCTTTGTAATGGAATTAAGTCAAATAAACCTACCGGCGTATCGAAGGAAAATGCACATTCATCTTTATAGACTTTTTCACCGCCCAAAGGAGCTTTAATTTTGGACAAATATTTTTCCAAGGAGGCTGCCATTTTGAAAAATAGTCTCAATGCAAAATATATTTTAGATATTGTTGTTTCCGTTGCCAAAAATTATGTGTTTTTTCAGAAAACGCATTAAAAACTATTATCAATTTAGATTTATTAAAATTCACAAAGTTTATTACAGTTTTGATCAAAACAATACTTTTTGATTTAAAACAGTTTGAGCCAATCACATTTCGTGTTCCAATGTCAACTGAAAAATAATTTTGTTATCTACAATTTGATTGGTTCAAGCGGGAACTTTAAAATTCAGGCCTAGTTGTTGATAAAACCGTAAAATTCATTGCAGAAAGTAGTAAGGCTTGTTTCTTCAAACAGGTAAGATTTTGAATATTCTGATTTTATTGTTAAACAGGGAGTGTATTTAAGAAGTACCTGGTGAACCTATATATAAGCCATGAACCGATGGTGTTTTGGAAATCTTATCTGATTGTGAATTTCTGATTTTTTGTGAGTCAATACAGTTGGGGACAAAAATAAATGACAGGTCGATTTTCGATCACCATTTCCTAATTATGGTGGTCTGAAAGCCCATAATTTCAAATATTGTCTAGATATATATCCCTTAAAATTTGTATATTTTACATTTTGTATAATCTCATCCACTGATGTATGGCCTCTTGTAAATTCTCTTATTTTTAACATGGGAAATCCTCACTTCAGCAAATCCACCTGTCATTTATTTATGTCCCCAACTTGTAAATATTAAAAAGTTGTTCCTGTTTCAAGTGTTTGGGTCTGTGTGTTTGTCGCGCAGGAACGTGTAAACTGATATTTCTAAAACCCGCTTGCAAAAAATTGACTTGGTTTAGACTAGTTCAACAAGTAAACTCAATCTATTATTGCCTTTATTCTGATTCCAAGCTTATGCCATGCAACACTTACACGTAGTCTGTTACACTTATCCCGTTCCAGGACTACATGTATAGTCCTGTACTGAGCGCATACATTTGCCTGTACGATTACAACTTGTGAGAATTATCTACGCCCCTTCCACTTAAGAAACCTACCTCAGTGCATTCTAGAACTCAAAATGTAACTTCTAATATATTGGAACCGCTGATTGTCTGGGTTAGTTGACAGAACGAGGTCTTTTTGTTTCTTATGGCTCTTTTGGTCGAAGTTCGATTAAGATGGCGGTTATAACGGAATTTCCCGAACTTTTCCGTAATAGCACGAACTTGGTATTTCGTTACGTCACTTCCGTGTTTAAATGGATTTGTTTCCGGTAAGAAACATTGTTTAACCATTCGGTATACAGTTAAGAGCATAGGATGTCGACATGGCAGTATATATTGAAAATATTGTCCGAAATTTTCGAAATTCCCTCTTACTGGAAACAAATCCATTTTAGACGGAAGTGACTTAACGAAATACCAAGTACGGTACGTGCTATTACGGAAAAGTTCGGGAAATTCCGTTATACTCGCCATCTTAATCGAACTTCGACCAAAAGAGCCATAAGAAACAAAAAGACCTCGTTCTGCCAACTTACCCAGACAATCGGCGGTTCCAATATATTAGAAGTTACATTTTGAGTTCTAGAATGCATTGAGGTAGGTTTCTTAAGTGGAAGGGGCGTAGATAATTCTCCCAAGTTGTAATCGTACAGGCAAATGTATGCGCTCAGTACAGGACTATAGTCCTGGAACGGGATAATGTTACACTTATCCCGTGCCAGGACTATAGTCCTGCGAACGTCTTATTCTTTTGCCTGTACGATTACAACATGGGAGAATTTTCTACGCTTCTTGCACTTAAGATACCTGTTTCAATAGATTCCTTGGTATTTTAGCATTCTTTTCGTGTAGTTGAATCCACAATTGTCTGGGTTTATCGGCAGAACAAAGAAATTTTCGTTTTTGATCGCAATATTTGCATGTAATATTTAACTTATTTCAACCGTCAAATTCTTCCATTTATTGGTTACACATCCGGGCTACTTCCGGGTCAGTCAAACGGGGAATCCCCTTTTAAATCCAACCGCCATCTTGGAAAGTGTTGGAATATCTCTTGATGAAAAAGAAAAATGTTCCCATTCTGCCGATATACCCAAACAATTGTGGATTCAACTACACGAAAAGAATGCTAAAACACCCAGGAATCTATTGAAGTAGGTATCTTAAGTGTAAGGGGCATAGATAATTCTCCCAAGTTGTAATCGTACAGGCAAAAGAATGTGCTTGTTACAGGACTATAGTCCTGGTACAGGATAATGTTACACTGCTTCAAAGACAAGCATTTAAACCTGAATTAAATCTCAATAATATTGTGCAATAGTCTAATATATAGAAAAATATATTCATATTGCACACGAATGACATTTGTATATGTTGGATTGCTTGTAAATTCGCTCATAAAGTCTTTAAGTTGTAACCCCTTATATTGATGCTTCTCTACCATGTTAATTCTTCAATAAAATAACATGGCGAACAGACCTCAAATTACAATTTTCAGGTTCAGCTGCTTGATTGAAACCAATTTCCCCGGTCCAATTTACCTCGATAATGTGCAACTTGACAATAATGTGAAAACACCATTAAATAATTCCACGTAACATTTTGAGTTAAATATTTCTATTCATTTATAAGCGAACCATTTCTGGAAGGCATTTTTGGAAGAACAAGATCGAAATATCGTCTATACCCTTTAAGAATCTTCAAAATCGCTAAAGACCAATATCATTCTTCTAATGTCACCCAATGTCTTCTTTTGCCAAGACTCCCAATGCATTTTCTCTCAAACATTTAGTTTACATATATTTTAATTTGGTTTCAGAGTTTCCAAAATGGGTGCACTGAATAGCAAGACATTTGCAGACATGATTGAAGAAACTGATTCTACATCTTCGCCTGAACAAGCCCGCAAGATCCTAGACCATGACCCCAGATCACCCACTTGTCTCTTCAGTAGGACACCTATCCAAGTTGAGAAAACACCAGTCTCTGAAGATCCTAGATCCCCTTCTTTAGGAATCATGAGAACACCATTAGCACCTAACACAGAGGCATTTGATCCAAGATCACCATCAGTTGAGTTTGCCAGGACCCCACTTAGTGTGGATAAGATGCTTGATGATCCGCGATCTCCAAATGAAGAGATAGTCAGGACACCTCTTGTGGAGAAATTCACTTATCTTAATGGTAGGTTTTTAAAATGAATTTCAAGTATTCCACACATAGATAGGCAAGGTGTGTCCAATTCCAGCCAATCAGAACACACTATTCCATGTAACCTGCATTCAATATTACTACTCAATAACTCATGCAAGGTTGTATCTTACAACAATTGCAACATGTCTTGTTTTCAAGTTGACTATTCCATTCACTCCCTCTCCCTCTTGTATTTTCTATCAAAGAGAGCAGACAGTTGCACAAAAATGCATGAATAAAAGGGCGGGAGAATGTACACCCCGGAACAGCCATCGACAGATTGTAATTGATACTTTGTCAACTTGACCCTTGCAAAATAGTTTCATTGAATATATTCTTTTAGTGATTTTGTATATTTTAGATGATTTTGTTGAAAATATTTTGCAATGTGTGAAAAGTATTTCAGACCAAGACTCAATGCATTGTAGAATGACCATTCCTTTCAGGCATTTTTTCATAAGATTAACAAATTTATTTTTTAAAGCAACACCTTCGTTTCACATTTGATGTACATTTCCAGACACATTGTCACCAGTCAAGTTCGACATATCATGCACAAATGATGACACAACACATGAATTGTCCAAATCTCCAAGTCCAGTTGGCCCAATATCCACCTCACCTGTCACAAGTAGTACAATGAAGAAGGCTGCAACTGCAGAGACTGAGCTGTTTACAGAGTCATTTGAAACCATGAACAGGTCCTTCTCAGAGCCTGATCTAACCAATGATGACCAGTTTCTAATCAAAGCTAAACCAGGTAAGAATATTACGGAAAATGATTTTGATGTCAAATTCTAAACATTTTGCACTGTTTGGAGAGTAAGGTAATTAACACACCACAAGTTAACTAATCGTCCTAAAATACAAAGAACCAATCCATGGAAGGGTTTAAGAAACTAAAACTTGAAACTTCATAACCCAAGCAATGGTTTAGATACTTTAAAGACAAATTTGGGTTGATATGAGTGTAATTTCTATAAAAAGCAACTCTACTGCCTGCTAATTTGTATTAAATCATGAAATCTGCAACATATTCAAATTCAATGGCATCACAACATCTGAAAGAAATGAAATGTAAGGTCAGTGTATTTCTAAAAAAATCTTGCTCTCCCATAGCGGACTCATTTTCCATTGACATCCTACAAGTATAGAATAATAGGATGTCTTCGAAATGGAGATCAAGTAAACACATCAAAATTTCAAATATTTTGTATTTCCAGAGAAAAAAGCATCATCGGCAAAGAAAAGTCCTCTGTCCAGTTCAACTAAATCCAACAAAGCAAAACCAAAAGTCTTGTTCAAATCAGCTTCCACCCCCAGCAAAATGAAGGAGAAGCTGCTCTGGTGTAAGGTTGCTGACAAAATGAAGGACAATACCAGGTCACCCCTTGGTTTGAGGAATATGGACAATGCTTCACCAAGAATGCTTGTACAACGAAAGCAAGTTAACAACTTGAATATGAGGAAACTTGGCAGTTTTGACTCTCCCAGTAAATACGAGGCATTTGGTGACAAAGAAAATATTGGGGCTCAGTGACTTGAACAGGTTATGGAGACTTGATACCCAGAACATTGAGAACAATCATGGTGCTTTGAAACCTGGAGAGACCTAATAATCTGGGAGTGCAAGAGAGAAATATACAGTCACAGTGACTTTTAATTATCCCAAAGAACATAGTTCACTAGGGATATAGTGAAGCCCTCCGTCCATTAGTCCACCCATTCCAAAAATAACTCATTTACTGGTGGAAGGAATTGATTCAAATTATATCTTTGCTTGATGTCTGCATCTGATCAAGTAGAAATCTTGAAGAGGGCCGCTGAATTTCAAAATGGCCACCATTTTTCGTAACAAATGGAATCTTTAATAATTCAAATACCATTAAACTGATTTGGTTCAAATTTTATTTGCTGATATCTTAGGAGCATTGGAGTCCTGCTCAAAAAGAAATTTTCAATATGGCCACTTTATTTGAAAATGGCTGCAATTATGGAATTTTGTCCAAATATATGTTAATGTCTAATGGGCAAAGAACTTCTGCTCAAAAAGATATTTTCAATATGGCCGCTCACTTCAAAATGGCTGCCATTTTTCATAATAAGTTGATGTATTTTGTTTTAATTTTATATGCTGATGCTTTAGGGACATAAGGGTTCTGCCCAAGAATGAATTTTCAGATGACCACTCCATTAAATAGCCCGTATTTTGTTCGTTGGGATTTGCTACTCCATGGAGTTGTGTTTTCTAGTAATATTGTGACACACTTCAGATTCAAGAATAATTTATTCATTGGAATTTGCCACTCCATGGAGTTGCTATTATTCTTGTTATAAATCATTAATTAGTAATGGAGTGTTCTATGGTATGGTTGAAATATCAATATACTATAAACGCAAAGGTCATCCTCTGGATGGCTGAAATATCCATGAACTATAAACGACAAGGTCATCCTCTGGATGGCTGAAATATCCATGTACTATAAACACAAAGGTCATCATCTGGTATGGCTGAAATATCCATATATTATACACACAAAGGTCATCCTCTGGTATGGCCGAAATATCTGTAGGCTATACTATAAACACAAAGGTCATCCTATGGTATGGCTGAAATATCCATATATTATACACACAAAGGTCATCCTCTGTATGGCTGAAATATCCATGTACTATAAACACAAAGGTCATCCTCTGGATCGCTAAAATATCCATACTATTATATAAACACAAAGGTCATCCTCTGGATGGCTGAAATATCCATGTACTTTAAACACAAAGGTCATCCTCTGGATGGCTGAAATACTATAAACACATACATCCGTCATCCTCTGGTATGGCCAAAATATCTGTAGGCTATACTATAAACACAAGTCATCCTCTTGGCTCAAATATCCATATTCTATAACTTATATGTGTAGGTGCTTGAAATGATGATTATCATTTTTAAGCAGTTAAGTGGAACTGTTTTGAGTCTCACCTTTTAACTTCATGTTAATAAAGGTAAAACATATTTAGCATTTATACTCAGGTTTTATGCATTCAAAATCTTTATTCAATTGAACTCAGGATTCATACACATGTTAGACTGTTACAGAAAACCAAGTTCTACAGCAGTTGATTGTTCAGTTTTGTCTGTCCATCTTGTTTTCCGCCAGCCATTTTAGAAGTTTCTTTGATAAATCTTATCATTAGATTTTCTTCAACTTCGAACAAGTTCTACAATTGATTAAAGTTTGGACAGCCATTTTTGAGAATTGCGAGATGCAATGCATCATCAGGATTAAATTGTCTCAATACAGATTACAAAGCAAATTATAGGTTGGCAAACTACATACATTGTTCTGATACTATAGTACTTAAAGACACATGATACATGAAATGAAAAATATTGCAAGCAACATGTGATTCACATTCCAATATGTTTAGAAAGGTTGCTTGCAAAATCTCATTCTGTATTAGAGGATTTAGTTGAAACAGACACATATACCTTATTTGCTGAGGTAAATTGCAGTTCTCTATACACACATTGTATTTGATATTTGTTTTTAAATGTGATGTAGATGTAATCATGATAGAATTATGATGAATGATCATTTCATATTCTTTTCTAATACCCTCTTTCTAGTGCTGTATCAGCGTGAAACATGAGATCAATAGAATATTTGTAATTATGACACTCATGCATGTGTAACTGAAACTGGAAATAATTTGAAAGATAATAAAAAATTTAAGTCATTTTAAAAACTGTATGTTAATTTTTTTAGAAACCTCAATATAGAAAAAATTACATATAATAAAATACATTTAAACAACACTGATACGCATTTCAATAGTGCATATATATTAAAATATATGTACAGTTTATACATATACCCTACTCAAAAAGTCTGGCAACTTTAACTCCCCCATTCGATAACGTGTTAAACCCTCTTTACGTTTATTTGCATAATATGTAAAGAAAAAACTTTGAGGATTGAAAATATAAATTGACATCATTTCCAATACCTCCAAATTTTTCAACAATTACAATTGGTCGAAAATTGATGATAAATCTGATTAATTTTTGAAAATCAATATTTCATGTGAACCAATGAGAAATTGTAGGTTTGCTGCAAATCATCCGAGTTCTCGCAAAAAATGCAAGCTGACTAGACAATTGAAGCTGCATACTTTATTTGACAAACAATTGATGTTTCTTCAGGTTCAACAAAGTTATAGGTTTCCATTTATTTATTTTTGAAGAAACTTATTTGTATTTGTATTATGAATACTTGCTAGATCTGATTCTGCCTTTAAAAATCCAAAATGGCCTACCGATATCGGGATTAGCAGATTTATGGATAATTTCTTCATTGGGATTTGCTACTGTAAGCCTACTCCAAGGAGTCAAACTTTTCTAGTTTACAATAAATGAAACAACAATGTATGTATTCTTCTTCCTTTTCACAAAAAAACTTTCACTAACATGTTCTAACGATTTATTTTATTACAGATAGGTAATCCCAAATGCTGATTCGAGTCATCTTGAAAGCCCATGAAATTCACTGGTGATCCACTCGATTACGCTCGTTACCGAAACGGTTCGTTTTGGTAACAAAATGTCGGAACATCGAAGGTACGATATTTCTTTTTTCCTTATTTCACACGTTGTAGGCAGAATTCCCACGACATTTTTAATACAAACGTGTATCAGTATCATATGTTTAAGAAAATGTACATATTTGCGAACAAATACTTCAGAAGACAACAGAATCGTCGATTTAATTCCTCACTTAAGTTACATAAACGGTTTTTCGAAAAACAGTTAAGATCTGCACTTTTAACCCAAACCGTTTATGTAACTTAAGTGAGGTATTAAATCGACGATTCTGTTGTCTTCTGAGCTATTTTTTTCGCAAACATGTACATTTTCTAAAACATATGATGCTGATACACGTTTGTGAGAAAAAACGCCGTTGGGATTCTGCCTAAAACGCTTGAAATAAGGAAAAGAGAAAAATCGTACCTTCGACGTTCCGACATTTTGTTACCAAAACGAATCGTTTCGGTAACCAGCGTAATCGAGCGGATCACCAGTGAAATTACTGATCAAAACATTGTAAATATTAGCAAGTTACCATATTGTGACATTTTCCTTTCATTTTTTGTTCAATTTCTTAAACAATTGAAAAATTGATTCCTGCATCTCCATCAAAAATATTTTTATAATTTGAACTAAACAATCATCGGCCATATTACATCCACCTCGGGAAGACGTCTTCGTTATCTTTGTCCGATCCGTGGACAGTCCGTGGTCGACTTAAGGTAGAAACTGAGCTACCAGGTCGACTCAAACTAGCACTTGCACTTTTTGATCGCGGTTTACGTCCATGTCGATCAAGAGAAGACTCTTTTCTTGAGGTGGCACTCATAATCCTCACCCTTTGTACGAATGAATCTGGCGGTTCGCCCCTATTGAACATAGGGTTATGGTGTTTAAGGTAACGTTCGTACAGATCTTCCCTTGTCCGTTCGCCGTCAGACATTTTCTTTATGGTATGACTTATTACACCCCAACCAATTGTTTTCGATTTCTTTTTCATTATTTTTTCTTGGACATGCATTCTAATTTTGTTCCAGTACCTCTTAGCTCTAAGCCTTTTACGTTCTTCCTCTAAACGCTCTTGTTGAGCCACCTCCCTTTCCGCCTCCTCTTCAATATTACGATTTTGTTCAATAACCCCATCCATTCCATGTGTTACGACAACAGCTTCCTTTTTTACTGACGCCAGCATTTGTTTTCGCTCAGCTTTTTTCCGTTCAATCTTACGTAGCTCGTCGACAAGAGTTGAATAATCAGTACTGGATCTGAATGTGATTTTTCTAGGCTTTGTGTAGTACTGAGTGTCATCGTCGATGTTCTTTACATGATTTTCAAATTGACCCCAAGGTGATTCTAAAGGAGATTCCATAACTTCTGTGCAAGATTGACGTTCAAATAAATTGTCATCACTATTGCAATCTAAAGATTTACGATTATTCCTTATATTCCGGTCATATTTATAGCCACGACTGGTACTCCTCCCTTGCATATGATTGCGTTTTTCAGGAGACGAACGACGGTTCGCCATCTCTGAGGGCCCACCAAACATTCCTCTGCGTTTCACATCAGGAGGTTTACTTTTCAAAGTTCCTCTATCATACACAACGCGTTTGATATCTGGAAGATTGCTATTGTCCTTATTCCGGTTCAGATAGCCAGGTTGTCCATTGTCCTTGTCTTCATTTATGAAATTATTCATCAAAACAACACCATGATCCTGTTGGTGTCTTTCGGAAATGCCCGGGAGTGCATTGGAGACTTTTGGTGGGTTGAATGACATTGTCATTGGAGATTTCTTGGTCTTCTTTAGTGTCGGAAAACCTGTCCGTCAAATTGTTCTTTAGATTACCTGAAAAATATTAATTGATCACTTTATTGACATAATCATTTCTTTTAAACCGTTTCATCGATTACTGGAACATACAAAAGGATCTAAATGTCAGCAATCTGATGTGAAGTAGACAGAACGTGATGAAAACAGATTTGATACTTTTGATGGTTTAAACTCAATTACCAGTTGTTTTATACTAAATAATTATTTCAGCTACCCCTCAGTCACACCATGGGTTTTAAAATAGCTCCCTCAAGTCGAAGCCCATGGTCATTAAGTTCTTGTACATTTTGCAGAAAAGATTTAAACTTTTGCCGGAAGGTGCTCTGGGTGCTTCCTAAGTAACTTCGAGCCTGTTCACAATTTTCTGGTGGCAATGCCATTTGCAACGAGAGACAATATACTAAGAACAGAATTGCCGTACTTCGATCTTACTTGGGACTTGTTACGACATTGTCCAGACGGCCATCAGTACGTGTACTCTGGGTATTTATAGTTAGTCAGTCCGATGCCGGGATTTTATTGCTGTATTGTATTGCATTGTGTTGTATTGCAATGTTTTGAACGTAACTGACTGCGGATGGGTTTGAGTTGCTTTTAATGTTGTTCGCTGGAGCTTATGTGATCAAACTAGCGCAAATTACCCCCCCCCCCCATCAAAGGTTACACCAACTGAATAAGTCATTGGAATTTCCCGGGAGAAAAGTTTGCCGAATGGGCTTCAACTGTGGGCGATCATTGTTAAAACTGTTTTTGTTTTTTACAAATTTCATCGGACATGAAGGTGGTCCAGAATTAAGAGCATCTTTTCTGGCGACCATCCCCTTGTTTTATGTTTTAATCCTTTACATTACATTTTAGTTCATAGAGAGACCAACTCGATCAATTTGCGTCATTTTATAGTCTGTCGTTATTTCGTGCGAAAACGTCCGAATACACTGTTTATGAGCGAAAAATCATCATGTTTTGGAGCATCTCAACTCGACCATAGTCCGTTTTTCAATTTTTAGGACGAAATCATACGTTTTGAGAATCAGTTTGGTGCCGATCATTGTCATCCCAGGCCCTCAAAAGTCATGATTTGGGGGTCATTCTCGAGGACTAGGGGTTATCGCAACCATTTTCGGTTGATTCGACCTTTTCAAAAAGGTGCATAATGCATATTTCAACGGATGATTTTGATGTTAAAATGCATATTTCAACTGTATCAAAATCATGTCACTGTACTTTCAACCCGGGACTTCATGGCAACTTAGCTGAGTACAATCGGCCAAGTATTATTGTACTCGAATTCATGTCCATTTTCCAACTTGACAGAGAACACTGGCAGTGTTTCGTGGTAAATTCAATGTAAATTCTATTTGATTAAAACGTAACACTAAAACGTGGTTGTACATCAGGTACAGTAATGTTAGAGAAATAAGGAATGAATTAATGAATATATATACCAACCTTTCGAGATTCCGTCAATGTGTTGTTCTTATCAAACATGTCGTTTATTTCTATTGTCCTGCTCAAAGTATTCCTTGATATGTGCGAGTTTGTCGAATTGAGAGTATATAGAGATGTACCCTCCATTCAATGTTTACATCTTGGCCTTATCGTCAACCTAATCAACAAAGGTGAACACTATTAAATCCATTGGGTAGCAATTTAGCTTTGAGAATAGTTAATCCGTCTTTAATCTATAGGATCAACGTCCATGCTTGATCTTGCACAACTGGACAAATATGTTTTCATTTGCGCTTAAAAAGATTAGAACACTATACTACTTAGTCGCAATCAGCCCTGAATGTTTTCTCATGTTCATAAGTGGATTGCAAATATGTCCAAAGCTAGAATAAAAAAGATTTGTTCCCCGATGAAAGATTCATGCTAAACAAGCAATCTACTCAAAACAAAATATAATAAGATTAAATCCAAACATATCTAACTTTCTTACCAGCAACGTCAATGTCTCGATATAAAATATAGGATCAATAAAACCAATTCCCATCTGTATGCTGTCCTTTTTAAATTATTTCGTCTGGAGTGTTTGCCATAACGACGAGGGGTTATATCTTCACCTAAATATCATACCCTTATCCTATGAATTAATTTCTCATAGTTTCTTTATCGTGGATTAGAGAAAAGTAAATAATTTGTCAAAGGACTTTGCATTATCTTGAGTATTGAATTGCTGCTAGTTCAAACACAGACTTATTCTTCACGATAAGAATGTCTTGAAAGACGAGCATGTTTGAAACTTTTCAAGAACGAGACTCATAACATACAGACCATAGTAAATCACAAAAGTGTTATATTCACACAAATGTCTTTTATACTTTTTATTTGCTAAATAGAACTTGAAATTGACACCAGTGGTAATAGCTCATTTATAGTTTCATGTCATTGACACATGAAGTCTATATCGGTGCATGTCAATATAAACTTTTATGTTCGTAACAAGGTATATAAAAAAGTAAATTGTTATATTCCTCATTTTGAACATGTCATCGATGACATGTTGTCTGATTTGGACGCCGTCTTCCATCTTATACTCGCTCATCTGAATTCTTGGACGCATCACTTGTTGTATCACCACCAACATTATCATCTGTTTTGTGACGGATTCTCTGCATATTGTTTTTATGATACCTACAATACAGGAAAAATAGCCCGTCGAGTCATAAATCATTTTCTTAAAAAAATAAATAAGGATCTTTACGAAAACCTGTCTCTCTAAATGTGATTCTCCGTTCAAACATCCAAATTCTTTTTTTTATTTTATTTTTTTTTATTTCAGAGAAGAAAAACATGTTAAAGCAATTGCAAAAAACAATTACAATACAGTTACATGGTAAACGTACATTTTACAATACAGCATTGGTTAAACGTTAGTGTTTAAGAATTTTATACCATTGGCAATTTTTTCATTTAAAGGAAAAATCATTTGTTTAATTTTGCTTCCATGATTTTACTTATCGCCTCTGCCAACTCGTTAGTACGTGATGAAAGATTCCTTCACATTACTTATAAAACCTTTAAGTGTTGGTTTTAGCATAGAATATTTGCACAAATAAACATACCTTTTAAAAATACATATAGCATATTATTTAGGATGATTGTTTTTTTCTCATTTATACTCTCAGGTCCTATCAATACATTTTGTTTAGTACATAGCAATGTGAGCTCCAAAGTGAGCCAATAAAGCACTTACAATAGTACATTCATACAGAAGATGGCAAATCGTTTCAGGATTTAGTTTACAAAAAGTGCAAATGTCTGATTCTATGAGTCCACACATTTTTAAGTATGTATTAGTTGCTAAAAATCTATGAAGGACTTTGTAAGTGAAAGATGATAACTTTGGTTCATAGTACTAGTTACTCAGTTTGTCTGAACAAATTCCCAGTATGTATTTTACTAATCATCTCAAAGGAAGTACCACAGAAAACCTGACAAAGTTTTTCTCGATCAAATTTCTTGTAAAATTGTAAAAGCTGCAAATCAATTTGAAAAATCAATATGGCCGCCAAATTAAATGACATTTCTTTGTAAAATAAATCAAAATAAAATATTCTGGATCTGTTCGATTCCCCGAGTTGGTAAATCAGGTCGAGACCATTGAATAGATAGCAGATTAAAACCCATTCCTCCAAGTCCATGGTATATCAAATTATCCATGCTCATTATCAAATGTTTGGAAAGTTAAACGGCGTATTAGCATGAACACTGGTGATCCGCTCGACAAAATGTCGGAACGGCGAAGGTACGATTTTTCTTTTTTCCTTATTTCACGCGTCGTAGGCAAAATCCCCACGACATTTTTTCTCACAAACGTGTATCAGTATCATATGTTTTAGAAAATGTCACACATTTGCGAAAAAATAGCTAGGAAAACAACAGAATTGTCGATTTAATTCGAAATACCGTGTATGTAACTTAGGTCTACCGTATGGGTTTGATAGGTAATGTACCTTCGGAATATATTTTCTGTCATTTGCTGTGAAAAAGCTCGCAAGACGATTGACTCGATTTCCTGGAAGATCCAGCTCGGTTCTCATCCACATATCCACAAATCACATATCATATATGATCTCATATTCATTTTGGAAGTGTCTGAAGTGAACATTGCAATTTTGGACAATTTCATTTTTTATTATGACCTACTTTACTGTACACATTCGGCTTTCAAATTTCCATTTTATAATATCTGTTGCCTACTCTGCCTAGCCTCCTTCAGTTTCATGCGGTGCCAACTCCGACCATTAATTTGAATTTCAGAATAACCCCATGTTTGAAAATCAGGGATTGTGAGTCTGATACTGCACTGTTTTACATCAAACTTGTTCCATTCAAAGCCGAATGTCCACGCAATGTCTTGGAATATGTTGAAGACAAGCGCTAATATTACAGAGTATAGCAGAGTTATGTACCAACAGAAAGGCATTTTTGTTTTGCTTTGAATGGAACAAGTTTGAAGAAAAACGGTGCAGTATGAGACTCACATTCCTTAATTTTCAAACATCTGGTAGGTCTAAATTAATAGTTTTTCGTGTATAGTTGGGACCGTGTTTTTGTTATTGCGGTATTTTTCATGGCGGATGTCAAACAGGTCTGAATGGGCCTCATAAATTTCTACAATCTTCTGAATGGAAGGTAAATCATCTTCCTCTTCATCACCCGATTCATCCGGAATGGCATCCTTGTTCTTCCTTTCCTCAAATACGCGTTGCCTCATGGCATGGTATACTAGAGTTGTCATAATATGTGACCAGATTCCCTTAAACTCAGGGTCTTGGTTTCACTCAACACTTTTTATTTGACTTTAATATCCTAGCACTATAAATATCTTTTATATATTGAACTAACGATACATGATGTAAATAAAATAAAACTGGGCATTAACGTTTGTACAACTCAGTCAATACTCCTAATACCATTGCGGTATTCCCGCAACCGTAGCAGTTGCGCTCATGCCGCAATAGGCTATTAATGTCAAATTCAGTGCTAATATTATTTATTAAATTTGAGTATTTAAAAATTATATTTTGGGTTCACTATTAATTTAAATAGAATAGTATGACGAATCATCACAGATTGGAGTTATATGATAGACTTTTAGATAATAATGCTTGCGTATCGTATTCACTCCGTATTCTTTAAAAATGGCGCGCTGCACGCGTTTTCAAGAGGAATGATTTCTTGAATAAATGGCTAAATATTATATCATTGGGAAACCTTGCTGCATTCTATCTTGTAAAGGAGAGATCATTAGTTCCACGTTCAAACATAGCATAGCAACAACAATCTATCTAGTCTACAAAAATGCCGAAAAGTCGTTCCAGGTAAGAAGTAGAAATTATTTTTCGAATTATTTTCCATTCCAGCCATTCCCAAAACATAAGATATGGGAGTATTTAATAATAATACAGGGGCTTGAATGGGGTATCGAACAATGACCTCGTGTGTTCCTAGACCCTCCCTTATCTTCAATACAAGCCCAGTGTGAGGGAGATGCAATATTCTCTGAGAGGAATTGCACCTTTCTCTTTAGGAGGACAGTGTGGGTAGCCTTCAATTGTACCATTTCAATAAAGATTTCGTATTGGGGCATGTTAACCGAAAAAATCATAGTAAAGGGGAGATCCGTCGAACTTCGACCATGGGTTTACTTCGTGATGGGCACAGATATTGGCCAGATCGTTTTGTAGTAGGATCTCATAGGCTCAAAGAATAATTATTGAGCTACTGATCCTACTACAAAAGAATCTGGCCGAGATCTATGGTCATGGGGCTATTTCGACCATGGGGTTATTTCGACATTGGCTTATATTTTCGATTCACGAAGTCGCCATGTTTGTTTTTTGAATTTTTTTAAAAATAAATTGAAATCTCCAGCAGGCATGATCTTGAGGTGCCATGGTCCTGACAGGAAATGCCAAAACAGGAAGTGACAAAACCATACTGAATTTTGAAGATTTTTTGAACCAAGATAACAGCACAGGGGTTTGTATGGAAGATCAGGCAGAGCCCTCGTATGTCTCAAGTCCTAATCTTCCTGTGGATAACAAAGTTCTGTTTTGACCTCCAGTCAGTTTGACTAGTGCCAAATATCATTTACATGACCAGGATCACAATGTACATGGTCAGAATGACCCTAAACATGATGAAATAATTTTTTCAGCCCTCTGACCATGTACATTGTGATCCTGGTCATGTAAATGATATGTTGAACTAGTCAAACTGACTGGAGGTCAAAACAGAATTTCTGTTACTGTAGATTGGGTTAATTTGGCGCTACTTAATTTGACGATTTTGCCATTTTTGGCATATTGGCGGCTATTTAATTTGGCGGATATGCAAAAAATTGGGCATGTTTGGCTATGTTCATTTTTTCTTTTGAGGACCACTGGCGATATTCACCATGTTTGTACATTTTTGTGAGATCAACCTTTACATTTTGCACTTCGATCGATGTTGCTACTATACCGCGCTTTTCCTTTCTAGTTTTTCCCTGAGTATTAATGGGTGACTGACCAGTTCTGAGCCAATTTATGAGACTTTTTTTCATATTTTTGGAAAAAACTTAACCGGAAGTGACCTAAATACACTGGACAAAATACCCTAGATAATTCCCGGGGATTCATTCTAAATTTTGGCGAAGATTTATATTGGCGAATTTTACAATTTCCCCAAATTCGCCAAATTAAAGCGGGCACCAAATTAACCAAATCTACAGTATCTTACTAATGGTTCAAAAAATATTTAAAATCCAGTGGAAATTTATACTGAACATTGATGCCTATAAGCCTCCCATTATTATAAATCTGTCCGTAATTAAAAGTTAAAGATGAATGTTTGCATTCCAGAATCAAGCGTGGCGTGAAGTATGATGATAAGCATGAGCATGAAATCGGCACCTTATCACAGCGAAGGCTTGTTGCTGATGCATATTGGAGGACTCAAAAAACTGGAGACACAGTGAATTTTTGGACATGGTATATCAAAGACAATGGGCCCTTTACGATTGAAAACTTTAAGAAAGTTGCCTCTAAAGACCTTGACCTTGACTGTGTGGATGAAGATGGCCAGCCATTATATCCCTCAATATCGAGAATACAGCCAGAACCACTCTTTGATATTATTTGGAATAGTAGCAATCCTGCTTGGGTTCCAAGACAACCAACAAACAAACCACAGTCAAAGATAGATATTCTTAAGGTATGTTAAGTGATTTAAGTACCCATTCTATTATGATTGATGGAAATATGAAGATAAAAAGGCTGAGCATGTAATTAGTGTGTGGGTTTTAAAGCAGTCTTGCATGTGACATATTTTTATGGTCACCAATTTTTTTTGTGTTTGGTGTTCAGTGGTTGGTGTTCGGCAGTTGCTGTCTGTAACAAATGACAGGTGGTGACAGTTTGCATGTTAATGCCTTGTCTATGATTATTGCCAAAACTCAAAAACCAATGGACTGTTTTATTTTTTTTCATATGTGATGATATGTGAATACTTGATGGCATAAAAATGTATAAGTTAGGAATGTTAACACATCACATATCTTACAACAGATATCCTGTTATTCATTATATTGTTTTTCATCCTGATTGTTTCTATGATTTGTTTTTTATTATTTTTTTTATTAGGGGAGAAAGAAAATCATATTTTGGATCTGAACTGTTCACCCCAGATGAAGAAGTCGACCAGTATGTCATCTTAAAAAGATCAGCAGTGATCTTACCCCTGTAAGTAAATTTAATAACAAAAGACATTGTGCCTTAAAAAGTAGATTCTCTGTTAAATATCAGAGAATTCATTTCATGGCCTATTAAAGTAGAAAAATTCATTCTAATACCATAAATATGAAAGCAATTGACATGTATTCATACCTTTATTATCCAAGCTAACAAAGTTTGGTTGGGATAAAGTGAAACCCTCCATCCATCCAATATGAAAGTGTGACAAAATCTTGCCACGATTATCTGGGCAAATTATTGACTTATGTAAGAGATATATATGCACAATGGATAAAACTATATTTATTGAAAAATATGAAATGTTTCATTCAGTTGTGTTCAAAATAAGTGCTATATTCTTTTTGTAGAACTCAGAAGTTGATGTTTGTGGACAAAGCCACTGGAAAGCTGCTAAAGAGAGCTCGCATAGGATGGCACGTCTTGACCAAACTGGTGTATTTGGCTCTACATGCAGACATGTTATACCTCCTCAACTTCTAAACATGTTCCAAGGGGAGATATTCGCTTATGCACACTGTATGCACTCATATGGCCAAAGGCCATTCTTCTACATGCCAGGTAAGAAAAAGTATTTAACTACAATATATAGTCTTATATATTCTTGGTATATAAGTGTTCCTTTTTTGAATACTGAGAATACCTTTTTATTATTAGCTTCAATGATATGGAATATACAGCAAAGCATAACATATACAGTACAAAAACTATATTAAATGAAAAAGAAAATTCCTGGTACAACGTTTTTTGTTTTTGTTTGGTGTATAGGACGCCATCTTGAGTTTTAAGAAAACCAGAAATTCTTAAAAGATGTACACTCAGTATCTTGATTGAGAAGTGCATAAAAAACAAATACTGGATGATCAGGAGCTGGAGGTGGGCAAAATTCCTATTGGCAGTATGTATTTTGCTATATCAAGCTCCTGATCATCCAGTTACAAAACTGAACATATGTATTTTCAGATAATGTGGGGTGGTGATTGGAAGAAGGGTGCTTGGACAACATCCAATGCTTGCAAGCCCTCCAAATACATGGGTTGTGCTAGTGAGTAAAATTGTTAACTATATTCAAACAGTTGAAGTCAATAACTAAGTAATAGTAAATTATACATTTTCAAACAAATTATCAATAAAGAATGCCTCCATACCGTTTGTCGGCAGGTATAGTCAGAAGAAAACATAAAACAAATGATTTACACATTTTTTTGCCTCACTTTTATAGGAAGAGAGGAGGTGATCACACGTCTCGTTTCATTTTGGGGAACGAAGAAAGTGAAGTCGCTCCTGGAGTATTTAACTCGAAGATATAGGAAGGTATCTTTATATAAATTGATCCAGATGTAACTTCAAAGGTTTTGTCAATTCAATTCTACTTGACAGTCATCTTGAAACTTAAAACAGATTTTCCACAAAAATTTCTTAGTTAACAATGTGATTCGTTTCATGGTTACCATGGTAACCCATCGTGATGTCATATGGGGTAAATAAAACTCTCTTGACTTGATAAGCTGAATAAATTAGAATAATCTTTCAAAATCAACCAATCAAAAATAGACTATATATTTTGTATACACTTAGTTTTGTTTGAGATTCAGTATGGAAATGCAATATCTTTGAAGTTACATCAGGATCACCCTGTACATGGAATATGTTTGAAACAGAAAGAACTGCACATTATCAACTACAGTAAAACCTGTGTATATTGAACATTTTTTTACTGAGAAAACGTTCAGGGTTTGTAGCTGTTCACTCCAGAGAGAATAATTTCTACAAAAGTCAGTAGAGTATGTGGGGAGAGGAAGGGTGTTAACTAGATACAGGTGTTCACTTGAGAGATGTGTCCACTCAGATGGGTTTTACTTTACATTGTAATAATTTGAGCTAGAGTTCAGAGTTCCCTGTGTTAATCCTTTATTTGTCATATTTTTCAAATGTATAGAAAACCAGGAATAGATGTACAGGGACTTCATTAGCAGCAGGCAACAAGCGATTTTCAGCAGTTGTTTTCATATAATCGCCCATTGTTTTGAGGGACTTTTCAACTTTTCCATGTTGAATTTATGATTATCCCAACGAACGAAGTTCGTTAGGGATATAGTGAAGCCCTCCGTCCGTCTGTCCGTCAGTCAGTCAGTCAGTCCGTCCGTCTGTCCGGAAAATAACTCAAATACTAGTTGACAGATTTTCTTCATATTTAGTCGAAAGATGTATATTGGTGAATAGTTTTACGCAAAAAAAAATTTTTCAAGATGGCCGCCGCTTTAAAAATGACGGGACTTTTTCGCAAAAATCATAAATTTTTCATTCTAAACCAAAGTAATTAATATTATTGTTTGAAATTTTGGTAGTGTATTTACAACATTTATCTATTTCACATATATTCTGTGTTTTTCATCCTGACCCCCAGGGGCCATGTATGGGGGGACAGGAAAACAGAAATTTTTGCTAATTTTTAGATCTTTCTGAAGTATAGCTTTATTATACTCAAATGAAAAGCAATTAAGAGTAGATTGCAAATATTGTATCTTTTTTCTGATTCGAGCCTCGTAAAATTCAAAATGGCCGTCTAATGTACGATTTCGCAATAATTTTTCGATCTCTTAAAAGTATGGCTATATTATACTCAAATTGAAGGAATTTTGGAGTAGATCACAATTATGGTATTATTTTTCAGATTTGTACCTCAGAAAATTCAAAATGGCTGCTTTGCAGGAATTCGCAATTCTAAAATCTAATTTTTTCATTTTCAACCAAAGTAATGAGTATAATTGATTGGAATTCGGTAATTGATATTTTGTTCGTTGGGATTTGCTACTCCGCGGAGTTGCCGTTATCTAGTTTCCATTAATATTGCCTGCTGTTTTCATTTACTTAGTCTGCTGTGAAAAATTCTAGTGGAAACCCTGGATGTATATGCAGGAAACAATCCTTTGCTAGCAATTTTTGGCCTGTATGTCAAAACTTTTTATTTCAAATAGGTGAGAAAATGGTTGCTGAGTCTGAAGAAGACCTTGCCAAGTACAAGGAATATGACCTCATTGAAATGAAGCAAGATATACTTGATCATGTTCAAGGTAGGATATATCATGTGATGACCTAACAACATGCTCCATTGTTGGTCGAATTTTTTTGTTGTTGCAGTTGTCATTTTCAAATTAAGATTACATAATACTCTATTAGATCTCAAACATTCTAATGTCTATCATTTGTGCCTTTGAAACTCCTAAATGGAATATCTGCCAATTTAATAAAGGTTAGAATAGATTTTAAATATTACATTGAGCCATTTACAGATTCATGTATGCAGTGTTCATTGGGATTTGCTACTCCGTGGAGTTGCTGATTTGTAGTTTTATATCATTTTTCACCTTTTCCAGATTCTACAAATAGGAATGGTGTTTCTCCCGAGGTAGAATATTTTCAGCTGAGAAAACAAGAAGATGTTTTCAATGCTTTAAACAATGGACAACCAAGAATAGTTACCGGTAAGCTATCTTATGAATATGTTATTTATTTATATTTATATGATTTGCTTTCCTAGTTATTACAAAGTGAAACATTTGTTCCCTCTGAACAATCACAATAGTATCATTCTAGTATAATGTGATTATGTTTTTTGGAAATAGGTACAGTGGATTTGCATCTAAGCCTTGAAAGTGGGGTGGGGGCTTATTAGGGGATGAGCATTAATACTGCAATAATGGTTAGTTTTAGACATTACAATGTATGATATCCCATCAATACAAGATTAACATATTCAGGAACTTGGTTGTTTGAATTTTTCAGAGACAAGTAAGGAACGCCACAAGCTGAGAAGGGCCAACCAAAAGACAAAGAAAGCAATTGAGAATGCAGTGGAAATATACAACATTGCTGCACAAGATATAGAAAATGAAGTACAAATAAATTCAACCGAAATGGGATGTATTCTGAAAGCTGATTTCCCATGGAGGTCGGACATTACTCTGGGGAAGAAAAGAGACCTTGTTAATAAGAAAGAATCATTTGAAAGACTTAAAGAGGAAGAGGTCCTCCTTAAAAAAGAAATGAAACAATTTCTATTATATTATACAAGTCTAAAGATACAAATGGAAATGTAGGAATGGAAATGGATGTAAACAATATCAACGATGCTACATATATGAAAGGATTGGTGGGTTTACCTTTCTTTAATGATGAGGCCTATGCTTGATGAAACAATTGTTGACAACACCTCGGAGAGTGATGATGATTCTGAATTGTCAGACTTGTCAGACATAGAATCAGACCAAGAGGAAAGAATGGGACAAGAAAACAATACACAATTTAATATTGTCTGAACTTTGTTCTATAAAAAGTGATACATCATTAAATGATGAGTCAGTGAAAGGATCATAATATTAATGTAAATTAAAAAGTATCGAAACTTTAATGTCTAAAACTAACTCAAACAATCCAGGTCAAATCTAAGTTTTTGAAGTTTCTCTAAGTTTTCTATAGCCTATACTTCATTATTTCTTGTTGCGTACTGTAGATTGGGTTCATTTGGCGCTACTTCATTTGGCGATTTTGCCACTTTTTTGGCTATTTAATTTGGCGGACACTGGGGCTTGAACATGCTCTGACACCACAACTCCCATATACACTGGAACAAAATATAAATTGTTACACCCATTCCTACAATTCAACTACTATATTTTAAGCAGTTCCCCTGAGCCAATTTAGAAGTGGCATTTTCTTATTATCACTTTTATCCTTTTTAGATTTGTTAAAACTGACTTTAACACACCAAATCAAATTCCCAGAGATCCTTTCTAAATTTTGGCGAAGATGTAAATTGGTGTTTTTGGTCTATTCTGCCAAATCAAAGCGGGCCCAAATTAACCCAAGCATTCATTACAAATTGAGAGGTCAAAAATTGAAAAGGCCAAATCTTGAAATTTTCCAATATCATTCTCCAATATCAACTTCATTTGTATCAATGTAATGGATTTTGTTGAAATTCCATTCACATCCACAGTATTCTATTTATAAAATCTATGTTACTTTCAACCTGTTAATAGGGAGTTTAAGCTTGCATTGTTTTTTTCACAACCTAGAGGTGTATTGAAGTTATTTAAATGATGCATTTGTATGGGTGATGGTCATACATTGAGGTTTGCATTTGGATTTTATATGCAAGCTTAAACTCCCTACTATGTATTTTCAGTGAAGAATAAAACAGTAATAAGTTGAACACCTTCAGTACATCTAAAAAGTGTCCCTCATTGGAGGTTGTACTTATGAAGGTTCATTTAACATTAACTCAATTGGTCTTGGTCAAGTGTTCCACTAGTATAGATGTTCTACTTTTTATTATAGGTGTCCTACTTTACAGATTCCACTGCTACTGTATCATAGAGCATATGAATGACATGCACTAATATAACTGCATGTAAAAAATTTGACATTTTGTTCAATGACACTTTGTTCAATGACACTTTGAATACCTGCTTGAGTTATTTCAAGAGTTCTGGTAATCCAAATTTAGGGTCAAGAAATGATAGCTCTCCCTGTCAGTTATATACAGGGTGAGCCAAAAAAGTAACCATATCAAATCTTAATTACTCAGTCATCCTGCATGGGTTTAGTGTTGTAATCTCTTGTTTCAATGTTGTAAGTGTAAAAAATAGGCCTACAGATAAAAATCTGGTAGGATTTATGTCCAGTCAGTGAGGCACATTTTGGCATTTTGAGTATGTTTTGTAAATGGCCATGAAATTGTGGCTATCAGGGATAAATCAATGACACTTAGTAGAATGAAAGTACATTGAACAAGGTTTAATTGTGCCAAATATGATTTTAAACCCATGCTGAATGACTGAGTTAATAAACATACATTTGGATGGGTTACCTTTTTTGGCTCACCCTGTACCTATAAGGCAACAAATTATTTCACTTGTCTTTTTGGAGTTCATATATTTGGAGAATATATAATTGTTTAAATTATGGTAAACTATGTTCATAATATCCACTTTGAGTAGCCAGCCTGGCAGATTTCTTTTAGGGAATCAATTGAAAATGTGCTGGCATTTCCCGAATAATGTTTCGTATATACTTGATGGGTCATCTTATATCTTATGAATGATGATGAAGTTCCAAAGGTTTTGGGCTCTGCATGTACAAGTATATTATTGGAATAAATGGTTTCGAATTAATTGAACTTTGTAGTTCTGTTTATCTATAATTTAATCTTTATTTCATATTTATCAGCATGTAATGAAGAAAATGTTATAAGGATACCCAAGAAATTCTTCTAGTTTATTGAATGTGGCGTATGCACTTTGAAAGAAGGAAAATCCATGAAAGTATAATAAACCAGATCCCATGAATTACTATGCATTACTATGAGGCTCATTGAGGAGTATTGTGCACAGGGAAGGCTTGGAGAGAAGTATTGTTTAGTTGAGGCTCAGTGAGGACTATTGTGAACATGTATGGCTTGGAGAGAAAGAGAGAAGTATTGTGTCTAGTTGAGGCTTGATGAAGATTGTGTACAGTGCTCACCATAAATAAATGACACCAGGATTTGCTGAAGTGAGGATTTCCCATGTTAAAAGGAAGAGAATTTTCAAGAGACTATATCATCAGTAGATGAAAGTTTACAAAATGTAAAATACAGTAGAACCTCTATATCTGAACACCTGGCTAATCCGAACACCTCCCAATCTGAACACTTTTTTCGGTTCAATTTTTTCCTCCCATTGACGCCCATGTTAAAAAAAACTTATAATGTGAACACCTCCCAATTTGAACAGTGAACAGTCATATTTGAAAAATTCACTTGTCTAATCTGAACACTTTTCATAAAATTTCTGATGTTTCATACAAAATTGCTCAAATATTGTCATGATATCAAAACTTTGGAAAAAATCTAGAATGGTGTCAATTATAATGGGGCTTTCAAGCATGACTAGATACATTTGAATCGAATTTTCAAATTTCAGGAATGCCATTGAAAGCTATGTGGTCAGAAGAACTATAAATATATATCGAGAATGTGTTCACATTTCCTCAGAATCCGGAATATTGCGAATGCAAAAACCTTGAAATGTGAACACCTCCTAATATGAACGCTTTTAGCCGGTCCCAATGGCGTTCGGATTAAACAGGTTTTACTGTATAAAAAAACTTAAGGGATGTGTATCTCGACATTATTGGAAAGTATGAAGTCTCAAATCACCATGGTCTTGAAAAGATGCTTCCTGGGAATCAAACACCACAGCATCATATCATATATGAACACTACCATATAAATATACATATCAGACATTCTATACTTCAGGGGTGTGCACGCCACCATACCTAAATTGGGGACATTATCGATAAATACAGATGGGGTAAAAGTCTTGGAGGACCTACATGAGCGTTTCAGATGATTAATAAATGCGCGAAATTTGAGACGCTCAGAAAAGCATGATATACATTTTCCCTGGAAATTAATATAATAAAAGAACTAGGATCAGCACTTTTAGAGTGTGTTCTCACCATAGGGCTGAGTATCGATTTACCTTTAGACTGTCTAAAATTCAATGATTTCGTATACATGATCAGCAAATATGAAGTTTTTTTTTATAAATTCCGTCATGCTTAGCTGAACAAAAGACAAATGTGTAATCCAACAGTTGAAAGTTTCCTAATAATTTCCGTTTTTGTGTTTTTCCATTCATCCTGCCCATTGGTTTGTCTCTCACTTTACTCAGGGAATATACGAAACGGTTGCATATCTTTCCAGATACAAGCATTGTATATTTAAAATGGATTTATTGTGGCGATGCTTTTTAAATATATCTTAAATGGATTTCTTGTCCATTGTCGGAGAGTTATTTGGCCTTATATTGTAGTTAACGGTAACATGTATTACAGTTGTGTTACATGAAAGAGCTGCAACAACAGCATGAATGAACACTAACGTTTGTCACTTCTATGACTGGAATATAAAGGTTCTTATATGAGTACCAGTGCAAGATCATCCATTCTTGATGAGCTTTGATGATTCTTCTTTATCGAGTCGCAGACGAGATAAAGAAACATTATCAAAGCGCCTCAAGAATGGACGATTTTGCAAAGGTACGAGTACAAGAAAGTTTTTTTCATCTTACACGTGTGACTTCTTAGGATGAAAAATGGCAATATCTTGCATGGGGTAAAGCTGTATCTTGGCTAGTCAGGAGAAAACGTAATCTAATATACCGTTACAGGGTGGTCAAAAAACGGAAACCATGCGTCTTCCTCATATCTTTGTCATTATAGAAAATTACTACCTGATATTTTACACCTTTGTACAACATTCCATTTCCAACTAGCCTAGCATATTACATGACTATCAGCCTAATAGTTACAATATAACAGAACTTTGAACATGCTGCATGCTGCATGCAAACCTGCACACGTGGTCAATGACCCGACTTTATTCCTTAGAGCCTATGGCCTGAATGACACAGATAATCTCCCTTTTAAGGTCTGCAATTGTTCCGATGAGGCCATTCTTGTACACTTTGTCTTCGGTATATCCCTACAGGTAAAAGGAAAGTAACCCGAGATAAGGACATTTTGAATTACTTGAGCATGTTTGCCTACAGCGCAATGGTGAGATATGATGAAAATAGTGGCAGGGCTTCCAATTTTGTTACCACCCTGTACCTGCAATACGCTATACATCAGAACCTTCTTTTAGCGTGGTACATAGCCTACCATACTTGACTTCATGGTGTATTCGGTTGAAAACGAGACTGTAAGTGGATATTGCAGATGACCGGGAATAACCATAGATCATGTGGTCGGTTTCAATGAGAAACATTTCACTCATGTCACAAATATTGTAAGATTATTCAATACATAAATTATGATGCAAATCGTCAAATTTTTAAAGGCCTAGCTATTCATTTCGGCCATTTTTCATTTCTTATGTCAAAGTTTTAAAAAAGGTTAAATGAAGATGTATGGGGTTGATGAAACTTCAAAGCAATACTGATGCAAGTTGTTTTTCATATAAGCGTTTGTAAGTTTTTATGTCTACAATTAGACAATAGTCCTCAATCCTAAAGATGGGCATATGCGATTTTGATCCACAATTATGAAT